CAGCAGCAGGCTCAGCAGCAGGCTCAGCAGCAGGCTCAGCAGCAGGCTCAGCAGCAGGCTCAGCAGCAGGCTCAGCAGCAGGCTCGGCTCCAGGCACTTCAGGCACAGCTCCAGGCACAGAACCAGGCACAGAACCAGGCACAGAACCAGGCACAGAACCAGGCACAGAACCAGGCACAACAGCAGGCACAACTCCAGGCACAACAGCAAGCACAAAACCTGATACAGATAGCGGCAGCAGTCAACCAGCTTATCGCAGACAACGACGGGGACCAAATGCAAGAATAGGCGTGGATCGCTTTCCTGTATTTGTTTATTATCTCCCCCTCTTCCTTTTTCCTTGAAAGGCATTGCTTGGTGCTATGTGGGTTTTCTTATTTATCGGCAAAGCATGGATTTCTCCGGAGTTGACGGAATGTTTCGATATCGGTTTGTGTTATAATTTTTGAGCCCATTGCATCGGTATGTTGGGATTCACCTGGAGTATAGAGGCGACACTATGTCATGAGAGACGATAGAAAAGTATAGATTTATAGACGTACAAGGCTAAGCCTTGGAAGAATGATAGATGGATGCATTATGCCCGATCCCGAAAACCCCTAGCCACGAATGTGATAACAGTGCAAGAAACAAGGCAGAAAACAAGATTGAACACGAAAAAAAAGAGAGAAATCACAGCAGTAGTCGACTCGTGTCAGTCATATCATCAGCGACGAAGACTATCCAGTCTTGCCTGTAAATCATCATCACTTGCGTTTCCGGCGGCCCCGATCGGCTGCGCGACTCTTGTCTCGCCCACGGCCGTCTTCTGTATATCCGTCGGCGTCTCACCCAGCTGCAAAACCACCAAGAGAGGAAACAGTCAGTATACGGACAAGACCACAACACCCATATCCTCAAGGCAGGGAATAGAGGGGGAACTATCACGCACCGCCTGGCTCAGGTCCACGCCAATCTCATCCAGCACCTCCTTGACGATATCCTCGCTATCCTCCTCCTCGCCCTCCATGCCCGTCGCCTCGTCGATCGCATCGTCCATCATCTCCTGCCGTTGGTCCATGATATCGTTCTCGCGCTCGAACTCCATCGCGATCCGCTGCAGCGCCGGCAGGTTCATTTGCCGGTTCATGCTGCCCAGCAGCATCGTCGCCCCCTTCATCGACTGCATCATCTGTTCGTTACTCCGTACCGTCTGGATTTTGGGATGAGTTGCGTTAGCTGACAGCCAATACCAATCTCCCCAAAAACAACCCAGTCCATCAAGGTAAAAAAACCATACCTGAATCCGCAACGAAATCGCCTGCAACTGCGTGCGCATTTGGTAGAATTTCTGGATGTACCTGTTCTCCATCCCGTCAGACACCTCTTATTCAAACATCGCAGCTCGCACATCGCACATCGCACATCGCAACAAAGTACGGATAGAGAGGGAGTGTGTGGGTGCGTGTCTGCGTGAGGGTCCAACATACCTCCGCGTGCGCACCAAGTCCTTGGCCTGGATCTTACAGGCCCCGATCTGCCCATTCTTGGCGCTCTTCTTGATGTCCTGGACGAGTTTCTTCTCCTGGTTCTCGAGCTTCACGCGCTCGCGGTCGAGTTCTCGTTGGGTGCGGTCGAGGGCCCGTTGGTGTTTGCGGAGGCGTTCGGCGGGCGTCATGCGCTTGCCGAAGGCCCATTCGACGATCTGTGATGGAGATTGGGTTTAGTGTTGGTGGGTGGGGATTTGGGGGGGGGAAGGGGAGGTGGGAGGTGGGGTGATTTTGCGACGCTGATGTGATTGGAAGGGTTTGGGGAGGGTACTTACGTTCATGGTGATGAGGGTGTAAGGGGTATCGGGTTCACACCACGTTCAAAGAGAGGGAGGAGGGAGGAAGGATTATCGGACGATTGAGATTGTGGTGGTGGTGGTGTTGTTGTTGATAAGGTAAAGCAAGCCACCGAGGCGGAGAGAGTGAGTGAGCTTGTGAGGGACAACCAGCCGCAAGTGACATCAAGGCAAGCCAGCCGTAGGCTGTAGTTGGTGTACTGTACTGCTGATACTGGAGTTACCCCTACATAAGAGATGACAGTAGTATGCTCAATACACTTCTGATACCAAAGATACCCACCCACAGTCACATGCAGGCCCCGACACTGAATCCTCCCCCCCACTAAACCCTTTTCAGCCAGCAATGAACGAATTATGAATTATTTTCCCTCTTTGCTCTTTTGCCTCCCGCGCCGAATTTCCATGATTTGCTGAAGTGCTTCTCATTGCTTGCTTGCTGCTCCTGCTGCTGCTGTTTCTTTGGTGCATGCATTAATTACTCATATTATTATTTCCATGTTCCATTCCTGTTCCATCCTTTCATCCTTCCATCACTAAGCCAAATCTAATCTCCCTCGCCTCCCGTGCACGGCACTTGCACCCACTCCCACTCCTTCCGCGACTTTTCTGTCCTTCCTTTCATTCAACTCTTCCAGCACTGGGTTACGCCCACATGCAAACAACCACCCTTTCGCCATGAGTCAGGAGTATTTCCCCGGCCAAGGCGCCTCTTCTTCCTCTTTTTCCGCCGGACCCTCCTCCAGCCAGCAGCAACCGTCGCCCGAGGACTCCTCCGCCATGAGCAGTACCCCCTCGTCCTTCCCGAGACCCCCGCCCGCGTATATGACCGTCGGAAATGGTTCGACCTCCGAGAGCGCAACGGCCTTGATGGCCTCGCTGCATGAGGATTCCGGGTACGGTGGCAGCATTCCCAGTGGGAGCGTGGTCGATGGTGATGCTGGAGCTGCGGTTGGTGGCGGATGGCGAGCGGATCTGATGGTCGATAGCCCGACTCCTATGCATGCGCCCTCCCATCTTGGAGCATGGAACCCAGCAGGTGCGTTTCTTTTTGATGCGTTTTTTGAAGAGAACTTCGGTCCCTCGAAAGGCTGTTTCAACTGACGCGTCGGAATCTATAGCTGAGCACGAGCGACAGGTCGTCGCGAGCCATGTGCACCAGTTACTCTAGTACGTGCGCCATAATCTCATCCTGCTGTCCATCAGCTACACGCTTCGGTCTGCTTTGATATCTCTCGGAATATGCTAAGACTTGGGGTTATAGTAACTCGAACCGGACCAAGCTCGGACGCGCTATTACGCGCACTATCGATACGTTGAAGGAACTCCAGGATATGAATCGGCAATGGCCCGCCCATTATCCCTCCGTCCAGAGTGACCTCGAGTCCCCTGACGACAAACCCACCCTGCACAAGGCGCAGTCCTTCTTCGGAGATGACGCCCTGGATTCGATGCCCCGTCCCGGCCAGATGCGGCGCGCCGCTACGATGACCGCCGGCGAGGATCTGGCGGAGTCGAGTGCAGCAGCGCAGCGTCGCGTCCCCACAGAGCCCCGGCTGATGAGCCCGCAGATTGCGCAGGAGTTTTCGATTCTCAAACTCGACTTGAAGCTGGGAGCCCTGTCGCAGGCCGAGTTGGTTCACTCCTTGGAGAAGGCATCGATCGCGTCGCTGTTGGATGGGAAGATCAGCCAGAGCGTCAAGCATCTGCTCTCGTTGCGGGATCGGATTGAGGATACTTCCAGCAAGGTTCTGATTACCGGTGACCTGAATGCCGGAAAGTCGACCTTCTGTAATGCACTGCTGCGCCGCAAGGTCCTGCCCGAGGATCAGCAGCCATGCACCAGCATCTTCTGCGAGGTTCTTGATGCACGTGAGAACAGCGGGCTGGAGGAGGTGCATGCCGTCCACAAGGATGTCCCCTACAACCGCAACGACGAGAGCACCTACGACGTCTATGGGTTGCATGAGCTGGAGGACATCGTTATCGACAACTCAAAGTACATGCAGTGCAAGGTCTATGTGAAGGATGTGCGGACGATCGATGAGTCTTTGCTTAACAACGGGGTTGTGGATATCGCGCTGATCGATGCCCCTGGTCTGAACTCGGATTCCCTGAAGACGACGGCGGTCTTTGCCCGACAGGAGGAGATCGATGTGGTTGTGTTCGTGGTTTCCGCTGCTAATCACTTTACTCTTTCTGCGAAGGAGTTCATTCTCAATGCTGCCCACGAGAAGGCTTATATGTTCATTGTCGTCAACGGTTTTGATCAGATTCGCGACAAGCAGCGGTGTGAGCGGATGATTTTGGACCAGATCGGCAAGCTCAGCCCTCGCACCTACAAGGAGGCAGCCGAGCTGGTTCACTTCGTCTCCAGTAACGCCATTCCCGTGGCACCTCCGGTCTCTGTTTCAAGTTCGGGCGGTGGTGGCGACGATGGTTCTGACGATGACGAGCCTGAGGATAAAGGAAAGGGCAAGGACAAGGGCAAGCAGCGGCAGAAGATCCAGGACTTTGAGAACCTTGAAGGCTCTCTGCGCCGGTTCGTTCTGGAGAAGCGCTCTCGCTCGAAGCTGGCGCCTGCTCGGACATACCTTCTGAACTTGCTCGCGGATCTGAACTCCCTGGCTGGAGTCAATCGTAATGTAGCTCAGGCTGAACTTAAGCGTGTCACGGACGAGCTTGCTGAGCTGGAACCTGCTTATGAGGAAGGCAAGAAGAAGAAGGTGGAACTTAGCGATCAGGTGGAAAAGTACATTGACGAGTCGTGCGATGACGTTTACAATCACACCCGGTCTAGTTTGGGTGAAACCATCGCTCATGTCTCCGAAGCCGACTTGGGCGTTGAGTACCCCGGTCTGTTCTCCGCGTTCCAGTACGCCGAGGACTTGAAGTTGGCTATGCTGGATCAGATCGCCGCATCTGTAGCGGACTGCGAGGACTATGCGCGGGACAAGACGGTCAAGGGTGTTGGCTTCATTCAGAACATTGGTCTTTTACACGTCGGAGAAGACAAGTTTGCGCCTTTGAACTTCCGCGCGGATATGATGTTCCGTCGTGGTCGTCGTCACACGCTTGCTAGACAGGTCGATACCGAAGTAGAGATTTGGGATTTCTTCGATATCTCCGGTATTTGGGAGCGGCAAGAGAAGATGGCCGGGACGGGAATGGCGATGACTGCCGTGACTGTCCTCGGAGGCAGAGCTTTTGGTGGCATCGGCTGGGTTGACAGCATGTTCAGTGCTGTTCGGTTCTTGGGACCGAACAATGTGCGCCGACTTTTCCTGCCTGGTGTTTTGGCAGTCGGTACGTTTTTTTGCTATTATCTTGTTTGTATGACTTTGACTGACAGAAAATTTAGCTGCTTTGACCGCTGCTTGGATGGTTTCTACGATCCCTACTACCCTTCCCCCTCGTCTCTCCCGCAAGCTTGCCGCTACTCTCTCAGAGATGGACTACGTCCACTCCAACGCCACGCGTATCTCCTCCGAGGTTCGCCGCATTCTGCGCCTGCCCGCCGGAAACCTCCAGACCAGCCTCGCGCAGGACATCGAAGACCTCGGACGTCGCAAGCACGAAGTCAGCAAGACCAAGCATGAAAGCGAGACCGCCAGCAAGTACTTCTCGAATCTGTTCCGCGAGAGCGGCGAGAACCGCAGATCCGTGGAGAGCATTGACTTGGATGCTCCTCTGCCTGGTGGTCTTGCGGCGGCTCATTAAGCATGTATGGGGTAGTTTAGAGGTTTTGCAGGTGATTTCTTTTCCTTGTACAAACCATAATGATGCTGTACGAACTTTTTACTATTCCCTTTTTGCTGTGTGTGGTGTGCTTCCGGCCTTATGCCGCCTTCCTCCCCTACCCTCTTCTTCTTTCTATCTCCAAAATATCCCGTCGTGTATGAGTTACAGCTCTATTCTTTTCTTCTTCCTACCTCTTTTTCTTCTGTCTTCTTCCCAGTAATCAGGGCGTGATTGGTGTGCTACGCAGGGATAAGAGATAGCTTAAAAATTCTTTATCAGATTGATATCCTAGATAACGATCTTTTGTGCACATATCTGCCTCGCTTGATTCTAGTGGCGCTAACTGCGTTATTGTTGTCGAAGCTATTCAAAGCTGCTAGCAACGGACCAGGGTACCGACCACGTGGGCTTCCTGGTCCGTGCGTCCCGTCCCGCGCCGGCTTGTTCCATAACTCCGACTGTAACTCCGAACGTGCCCTAAGTTGATCTCCTCACAGATGTAGTCCCGGAGCACGCAGGCTCCTTGACGGGCTGTTCTGAGAAAGGGGGGCTCTTCATGCCCACTTCTTTGATGAATATAGGCTGAAAAGATAGTCCTTCACAGCTGTATTTTCAGTGGAGGGTTCCTTCGCGGAAGTGGTCGGCAAAAAGGGATTCCGTCACTGGGATAGTCCTCAGAAGGCTCACAAGGCAAATCCGTCACTGGTGTAGTTCTCAAAGGTCGAGCCCGTCACTGGGGTTGTTTTCAAAGGCGATTCTGTCACTGGTGTAGGTCTCAAAGAGGTAAGCCGTTAATGGATTGATATCTCGGAGCGCAGAATACACTATGGAATGATTAAACGGACTGCAATTCTTCACGGCTTACCCAGCGGTTCATTGTATCCTCAAGACCTCAGCGAGCCGGGGACTGTCTACTTAAGAGCCCTCCCACTTCTTCTCAGATTCTTTCTTTTTCTTCCTTCTTCCTCTCTCCTCTTCCCACCACACTCCACATCACACTCCATGTGGACTTCTACTCGGTCTTTTCCTATCTTCCTTATCCTCTGTTGACTCCCGCTCTCATGATACATCTGTTCATTCCTCTCATGCATCTGTTCACCTAACCAATATACTTTCGTGGTGGAACGAGTTGCTCCACCCTTGGGTAAACTGAGCAGCGCAAAAGCTGGGACGACACCTCCCGGTGCGGGGCGTTACCAATGTCTTCCATCTTTCTTCTTTCCACCCCGCTCCATATGGTCCTCTTCTCAGACCTTGCAATTTTCATACGTTCTATTACCCAACTAAGTTGCATTCGATGCATGGGACAAAACATAAGTTCTTGGGACGGATATGCCTTTGTGGTGGGCGGTTTTGATCCCAACTGACATGGGATGACACGAAGAGATGCTGGGTCGATGTACGCTTTCGAAGAGAAAGTCTACATAAGTTATCAGGGCCTCGAGGAGGACTTTGGTTCTACTAATCCCGCAGGATTTGGATTAGTCCAGGATCTCCTCGAGTGAGACAAACAGACTCGCTTGGAAGACTCGCTTGGAGCGAGACATCAGATTGCGGGGTTCTGGGTATGCTTGGGTTTCGAAGAGAAAGCATACCCAGGGAGGAGCTGGCCTTTTCTCAACAAACATCTGGCATTGGATTCAAGATGCGAGGGGTGAGACTTCACTACCCCGCGGTGTTTTCCCGCCCCATCTCAGGTCAAGTCTTCTTCGGGAAATTGCGGAACTTGCGGGAGAGTTCCCAGTTTACTGATTGCTTGTGTGGTCTCGGAGATCGCATCTGCGAGTTGAGAAAGGCGATGAATGTTATGACGGCTCGGTTATCTGGGAGGATTGATCCAGAATGTCGAACTGGGGGCTCTTGCGTGTTTCTCCTTGAATCATATTTGAGGGGTGATTGACAGTTTTTCTCATCTCGATGATCAAGTCATCTCCTTCTTTTACTTTTCACCTGTGACTATTTTGAGAGTCGCGTGTTTTCATCTGTTCTTGCTTCCGGAATTACCCCTCCCTTCGGGCATGTTCTTCCTTCTCTGAGAGATTGAGAGCTCATTTCCTTTGCCTTGTCTCACTTCCGCTGGCACTCCGACGGGCCGTCTAGCTCAGAGGCCACTGACCGGACACTCATTCGTAACATTCTCACATACTTTTCTTCTGGACTGCACAAGTTCCACCTTCTCCCCAATTCGCGCAAGTCGAAGAGAGCTTCTTCTACCGCTGCCAAGTCAAGCCTGTTCCCCAAGCTTCGTCTGTCTTCCAGGATCCATTGCCCAGGTTGAGCGCTACACCTCCAGCATCAGCGACCGGTCTACCCTCTTACCACCCTGTTGCTATCTGGTGACTTGCCAGTGTCATGATGGACAGTACACTCGTCCTGAGAAAAATGGACCAGGATACCACTGTCAGATGTGTCAGAGCTTGGAGCAATTAAGTGTTCTACTTGGTGACAATCCTCTCTAGCACCACTGCTGAGCTTGTCCCTGCTGCTTCGATTCTGTTCATTCAAGCTCGATACCACATTGCCACGGTGATCAGTTCACTCCCCTCGTCGATCGCCTGGGAGACAGACTATCTGGGCAGGACTCGGAAGTTCTTTCATGATCATAGCTTCGCTATGAGCATTGGTATGTCTACACCTCTGTACGAATCGAATGTGTCTGATGCTAATATCCACAGATAGCACCTTGGTCTACACCGAGTGCGGAAGAAAGACTGGGGTGCGAAAAACTCTTGCCGCTGCCGCTGCTGCTACCACCACCACCACCACCTCCTCCTCCTCCTCCTCCTCCTCCTCCATCATCATCATCATCATCGTCATCATCACAATCACCGTGAGCTCAGGTGTTTGCCCTCTTCAACACGATCTGCACATCGAAGTCCGACTTGTCGGTTTGTTGACAAGGCTTCACTGAGTGCGGAAAAGGATGGTGAGGAAGAGGCCAGTGAGGAAAACTCTTGCCGTTGTCGCTGCCGCTGCCGCTGCTGTTGCTGCTGCTGCCACCACCATCACCATCACCGTTAATTCAGGTGTTTGTGCACTTGGACACAGTCTGCAAGTCAAAGCTCGACTAGTCAGTTTGTTGACACTCGGACGAACTGAGTTCTGTTTGAGATGATGGGAAGAATGATTCGGTTACCACCACTTCACCGGGTTCTGATCCATTGCTTCCTTGCCCCTGAGAACCATATCCCATGGTTATCGATCACAAATGTGGTGACCTCTTGAGGTGCATAAGCATCGACTCCGAGGCATTACTCAACAGGCTTGTCATCAGTGTAGCTCAGCGGTGCTGGTCTTTTCTTATCCTTGCGATGAAGGCTCTGTAAGAACATTGCTGCATGGCTCCTTGTGGAGTCACTGGATACATTACCCTCCCGTGAGCATCCATGTACCTAGCCCATTTCCCCCCTAGGCAATTTGCTAATTTGACTCGAACCACAGTGATTCTCGATGATTCAGATGAGGTATCGAAAGACCTCCGGCGAGCTACCAACAATGCCAGCCTCATCGAACTTGCTATCGCTGTTGCTCAACGGAACTGGCGTGCTCCCTCGTCCTTACGATGAAGGCTCTGTGAGTCATTGTGGAGTTACTGGATATATTGCTCGCCCGTAAGTTTTTACTAGGCCGTCCTATTCCTCGGCAATATTCTAATCTTGCTCGAAGCTCAGTGTATCCCAACGACTCAGGTGAGGTATTGAGGAACCTCCGGCGAGCTGCCAACAATGCAAGCCTCATCGAGCTTGCCATCGCTGTCGCCCAACCTGAGCCGACGTGTCCCTCTATCCTGGCAATTGTCAATGCGCAAGGACTGCTCAAGGCCTTGTTGCAAAGCCACTGGGTACATTGCCCGTGAGTGACTGCTTGACAGATTCTTTTGCTAATCTTGTTCGAATCTACCTAGAGTTCTTTGGCCGCTTAATTGACACGGTGAGGAACCTCCAGCGAGCCACCAGTAGCACCAGCCTCTTCTAGCTCGTCTCGCTGTAGCTCAACTGGACGATCATGATTGTGGAAACTTTTAAGAAAGTCTGCCGCAGGGCTCATTGTGAAGCCACTGGATACATTACCCACTTGTGAATAACTGCCTGGCCTATCTCTTTCCTCTGAAACGATTCTAATCATACTCGACGTTGCCTAATACGCTTCAACAGCTTAGTCAATGTGGTTGTGAGCCTCCGGCAATGCAACAATGCCAGCCTCTTCAAGCTTGCCACTATTGCAGCTCAATCAAGTTTGACTTGTCTCCCCATTCCGACGGTCAAGTTCTTGCGCAAGGACTGCAGAAGAGCTCTGAGGCCACTGGATACATTACCCATCCGTGAGTGACTGTCTGACCTATTCCTTTCCTCCGAGTTGATGCTAATCATACTCGAAGTTGCCTAGTACACTTCTAGCCTTGGTGAAGTGGTTACGAGCCTCCGGCAGCCCAACCAGGCCAGGCCCTTTGAGCTTTAGATCATTGTAGCTCAACTGGACTGGTATTCAAAACTTTTGCCCCTGAGGACTGCCGCAGGGCTCATTGTAAAGCCACTGGGTCCATTACACTCTTGTGAGTATTTGCTTTGTTCCATCCCTTCGCTTACATTTTGCTAATCGTGCTCGAATCAACACAGTGCGCTTCAATAGCCGAGATGAGGCTGTTATGAACCTCCAGCGAGCCGCCAACGGCGCCGTGCTTCTCTTTGTCGATCTTTGGACCCGGCATGTAGTCCAGCTGCGCGAGCGTATGCACAACACACTGCCATGAGAGTTCAGTGTGAGGTTCACCCTCAGAGAACCTTGTTCCGGCGAGCCATAGCAAGTTGCAGCAGTCGAGGATTAGGCAGATAAACCATCTGCATGCCATGCCTACAGGTCATTAGTCTGAGCCTTTTTCAGTCTGAGCGACGCGTTTCCCGACTGGAATCTGGGGGGTTGATATTATCATTGACACTTTCAGGTCTCTTTTTCGATTACCAGAGAATCTGCTCCTATGTCCTCTCCGGGTGTCTTGAGTTGAGCACATGAGTGAAGAGCTTGAGGCTACTGAGCTCTTAGACCCCACTTGTATAGCGGCTTATTGCCAGTGGGCAGATGGATTGGTAAACTATCTTGACCACCAGCCAACCTCTGTTCTTCCTGTGCTTGTGCCAACTCGACCGTGAATCGAGTCGAAGCATGTGACCGAAGTTTATGGGGATATTCAGCCTTTGGATCACAGTTGCAGTAGCAGCTGATTGCCAGTGTCAAAAACGATCAATCGGCCATCTTGGTCGTCAGCCGACGTCTGGTTAATCCGTGATTGTGTCTTCTCGACCATTGATCGAGTCGAAGCATGTGACCGGAGTCCATAAGGCTATTCAGTCTTTGGATCACAGTTGCAGTAGCAGCTCATTGCCAGTGGCAACGCAAATCAACAGACCATCTCGGTCGTCAGCCGACATCTCCTCATCTGTGCTTGTGTCGTCTTGGTCATTTGACTCTTATGCAAGACTGTATGTTCATTCACATATCCAGTAGACTTTGACGCTGAAAAGGCACTCCTGCAATTAAGCAAGACCCCAGGTCTGACTATTTTGTTCTATGCTCATGGTCATAGATATGCTGTGGAGAAGAAGTCTTTGGCACGTCCACTACGGTGAGGATATCGCAAACCAGAATGGGGGTTCCATCTGTATAACCGAATCAAACACATTCTAGTCTTTCGTTACCAGAGCTACTACCAGTTCATGGTTCAAAGCGAGTGCTAGAAGTTTGATCTATCTGGATAAGTTACAAGAGGTCTCTGAGATTGTTGGACTCGGATGTGGTCCTGGGCTGGCTCAGTCTCAAGAACACATTGCCGGCTGCTATGAGAATCTCGCTTCAAGTTTCCTGATGCTGATCGCTTGACCTTATCTTTAAGTTGAATACCCAGGGCTCTTGGCTCACTGGTATCCAAGCTGGGCAGAGTGTTCCTTGTGTTGTTCCATCTGGATTCCAACGCCCACTTGAAATTCTCTTTAGGCGACTGTCTCTCTTTGGATCGCATTTTTCTTCCTTTTATCTCTTTCGAGTCTCTTCTATGATCGTTCTAACTCTCCACTTTCGGTGGCTATGAGAGATGGCTGGTAGGTTTCCCGCCCTAGGCGATGGCTGTGCTTGTGTTTCCGTTCTAGGGTGTGGTGATTTATTGTGAGCAAGATGAAAGCCTTTACCACTTATCATTTCTCGTCCCGCTTTAGTCCCTACCCTCCCTCGCTCTGCACACCCGTAGCAGTAGACCCCAGACTCCATAATACGGGTGTGCGGGTCCCAGTCTGCAGTTGTCAAACAAATTCGTGAAAAAATGGATGACCGGAATATGGTACGGACTGACAAGAATGCCAATCGGCGCGAATCGTTATGCGGCGCGAATCGGTATAGGCCGTGCCTCACAACGCACTGAAGACACAATAGGGAGAGGATCGGAACATAGGTCAGTGATACAAAGTGTAAACAGATCCGGCACCAGAGGTGGCGATCGCAGAACCCGCGGTAAAGCTGCTGAATCGAGAAGTAGTACGTACATTGGGTCCGAGCAAGTACGTGAAGGGTATCAGCTACATGAGTCCAGAAAAGGCTATGTTCGACGAGAGAGAAGTCGACCAACCTGTCGTTAAATGGTGTCTCGGACTAACCGTAAGGTACTCAAGGTGATAAAGTCCACTTTCAGGGGAAATATGCGAGCGATCTCAGGTGGCAGTGAGATGGATTCTGCGAAGGCGGCACGAGTAGCCGGCCCACTGTAGATGGCCTCTTTCCCTCCCTCTCTCCATTCTTCTTTTCCTCTTTCCCTTCCTTCCTCCTCCTTCCTCCCTCCTTCCTCACCCCGCATGCTTACTCCTTCCTCCACCATCAACAAACCGCCTTCGCGATGAGTTGTACTCCCCCTCAGCAACTGTTACGAGTCATATTTCAAACTGTCCATCAAACTTCAACTTGACTGCGCTGCGTGAGAACTCCGAATCCAACTCGAAGAAGGCAGCACTCGCTGCTTGATCAGGACATTTGTTGCGAGCATCAGCCTTATTCATGGCGACGGCTTTTTCAAAAAGCACACTGGTGCCCGCCCCACGCCCTTGGCTCTCCTCAGTGAGCAACCTTACGACCACCACCCTCCAAACAAAACATTCCCGACACTTCTCACTGAGGATAGCCAAGGGCGTAGACCCTACAGATACTGCTCTACAAATGCCACTTTCAGATGAATACATATATTATCTCCTACCTCCCACCTCCTACGCCCACGCCCTTGGCTCTCCTCAGTGAGCAGCCTTACGACCACCACCCTCCAAGCAAAACATACCCGACCCTTCTCACTGAGGAGAGCCAAGGGCGTTGTTCCTACGACCACCACCCGTCGAACGAACATTTCTCCTATAACTACGCTGGGAAAGCCTGGCAAAACTTTTCTATCACCCGGAGCAAGGGCTCCACCAAGGAGAAGAACAAGAAGACGGGTGGATCTACGAACATAACCCTTCGAACCGAACGATCACCACCGAATGCACCTTCTACGCTCACACCCTTGGCTCTCCTCAGTGAATAGCCCTACTACTGCCATTCTTCCAACAGGCACATTCCCTCTGTTCACTGAGGGGAGCCAAGGGTGTACTGGTCGAACGAATACATTCCCTATGCATGTGACGGCGGCCCTGGGGCCTTTGTGCCTGAGGTGCCAGCTCACCGCCCACCCGGCTGCCTTTAGCTAGTTCTCTCCGATAGCCTCACGTAGAGGAATCAACAAGCCTTCTCCATCTCCCTAAGGCCCCAACAGCATGTGCATACTCTGAGAAGGTCTGGGACACTCAGCTCTACTTGGCAGACTGGAAAGGAATAGCGAGTTGACACGGAAATGACGGTATTAAGGAATGGAGAGAACGATCCGAGTGCTGCACATGTCCCTGGCTATCTGCTTTGTGATAAATTGATCCAAACGCACTTTCTTCTACGTAGTAAGATATTTGATTTCATCAATGTTGGCTCGTCAATTGACAATAGGACAATGTTCTCATGGAGTCGGATACGGGCAGGTCCGTAAGGCTCAAGTCGCATTTCAACGTCCAGGCTCTAGGAGCGATGCTCAATCAGCATACAGGCTGTCCTTCTTTTCTCTAGGTTTCCGATAAGCATTTGTAGAGCAAAGAATCAGGTAGCGACCCGATCCCTTTCGTTGGAGAATTGAGCAATGTCCAAGCTTCGGCACGGGATCAACTCTTTATGGTGAAAATTTATCTTTCGAGAGGTGCCAGTATCGGTGTTCAGCAATGTCTCATCCTACCACCCAACTTTTCGCATTGAAGAAGGGCCCATTTGAAGAAACTCTTGAGCATGATTGCGCAAAGCTCGCTAGCGTATACTACGGAGGACCATTGCGGCCATCGGCAGGTAAGAAATAGGCCGACAGTATAATCAGCAAACATACACAGAAACCTCAACAACTCCAGTTAAAAGGAATTACGAGAGGTAGGCCCTAAAAAAATACCTCTAATAAATAATACTGTCGGCCGCTCAGGGTCTCCAAATGTCCTCACACATGATAGGGCTGTGCGATCACGTGATTAGAACTGCCGAGGGGTAGAAAAGCTTCAAAGGGGAAACTGCCCGAGGGCCGGCGCCCCGGGGTGGAAGGGGGTTTGGAGGCCAGGGAGTGCTGTAACCTAGTAAGCTCTCTGGGCAGCGTTCCAGAAAATTTTGGTCCGGCCACCGCTGCTACGGCAAGAATACTATAATTAGAGAATAATCCCCCCTTCACCCAAGCATAGTATTCCATAATGTTGGCCAACCACAAACCTACGTGTCTATGGTACTCGCGGCCCAAGTGTCTTACTAGCACGCCCAGGCTCCAAGCATCTGTCTCGAAATCCCCAGTCATGGCCAAGGATCACAGCCACAGTAGATAGTTCGACCACGTTCGCCATCAATCTTCCACTGTATCGGCTGTTCTCGTTTGACAACATTAGTGAGAAGATTCTGGTTCTCATCGCTTAGCAGAATACTGTCTTAGTAAGCTTCAGATCTGATAACTAACTAACCTGGATCGATCAGACCATTGTACAGTACTTTTACTCTTGACATGGCAAGGGCTCCGATTCGTACTTAACCTGTGTGAACAACTTTGCACTCTGGGTTGCAGATAGCCCAGACTCGTGAGAGATGGAAGTAGATGTAGACCTTCAATAATAGGCAGAAGGGAAGCTTGCGATCAACGAAGCGCCTCTACAAGATCCAGAGCGGCTCTCGTTTTGGTGCGTCGTACACGAGACCCATGTGCTTACCCACCCCTGCGGCCCGGGGATCTCGAAGGTCATCCAAACAGGTCCGGAGAATCAGCCGGCCATGATGCTCTGGATTCTGCTGCGCGATGTGTGCTGCCGCTTCTCAATCTTCCCCTTCTCATGTAGGGCCTCGTCACCATCGTTGCTGTCGATGTTTTGCAGGGCGGCAGTCGACATCGTCCCTGATGGTGGCATTGCTCAATATCCGCGCGACGTTACTTGCCCACCGGAAAACAAAAGTAATATCGATGACAGCGCTACCTACCTATGCATCTACATTCTCACCGAGCCGTGCAGTAGACGTAGCTAGTCAACGATATCCAGATCTCCTATAAACAGACCACTTCCGCAACTTAATGCAATCGACCGTTCAATCAAAGCCCGTAGGGAATCTTCACTCAAGCCTCAAACCCCTCAGCGCCTCAGCATACACCATACTTCTTGTACATGCGTGCGGAGACCGAGGTCTCAGGTCGGCCACCAATCTGAGCAAAAGCAGACAACTACCTACCTACCTACCTACAATCTTAAGTGAACTACCGCTCAGGCTATCTAGAATAAACTTAGAAGCTACATAGGAATGTACGATCGTTGATCAGGACTTGAAGGTGGACCTCCACGACAAGCCCTTGATCTGATCGCTACCCTCTTCACCCCCAGGGATTTACTTGATCTGTTCACTCCTCGCTTCGATTGCCATCATGCATAGGCACGGAACAGCTACCAGGCCCTTACGTCCTGGTGCGAAGCTGTCTGACCTCAACGACCTTAGGTCGTGTTTTGGCCATTTCCGGTCACCTTCTGAAGCAACTGAATCAGGATGTCGAGTTTTGCCTCAATGTTCCTCATCGCCGTGAGGGTGTTCTCCTGCACGGTGAGCTGGGACTCGCTCACGCGCAGCGAGTCCCGCTCGACTTTGACCAAGTCCAAAGCGGCTTCGAGATCCGGATCCACGGGCGGGTTTGAACGTCGAATGAATTGCAGAATGTAACGCATTAGGGCCGTGAACAAAGGATGGAGTAATCCAATCCAGGTCCCCAGCGTCCCCACAAGGGAGATAGTATCAGACACACTCAGCATGTTGTTAGCTTGGGAAGACGTACAGAAGTACTAGCTAATAACGGTGGTGAGTACGGTGAAGAGAGAAGAGGAGGAAAAGAAGAAGTCGAGCAGAGCGCGGGGGAGCTGAGATAGTCGCTGACCTCCGACCTGGGTCAGTTCCTTCCATTCTGGTTAACCTGTATAGATTCCTTCCCGACTTGGTGGTTGCCCATCCGAGTGGCAGGGGCGAGTTTCGGTAACCACCGAAGTACTACCGGAGTGCTACTGGAGGGCTACTGGTAGGACTCAATGACAGCAACAGGTCTCGCCTTCAAGTTCTTGGTCCACGACTAGCAATGGAAGGAGTAGTATAGTACAAGAAGTCCCATCCACTCTTGCACATTGCGCGACGGTATCGCTTTCCAACCAAGTATGATTTGTTTCGCCGGGTAGGGTCACTCTCTTGAACAGAGCTTTCACAAAACAAGCGACGCACCTCCCCCGAGCTCGCCATCGCTGAATCAAGCCCTCCCCAAGGCCCAGAGCGTTCGAAAGCGGCCTTCTTCTTCCACTTTGGATCTTCGAGATCCAGCCCCGCCCCAAGGTCTAGCCATTTGGTAATGATCACTGCCTTTCCATCCTTGCCACAGTCCTCAAGGGAAATCTGGAACTCGACCTCGCAAAGTGGGCACCGCATACACTCCGCAGCGGACGACGATTGCTCGTCCAGAGAAGAGAATCCCCGCTGCTGGACAACAGATCGAATGGCGTCCATTACCGCCGCAGTGCCCAGACTCTGCCCTCTGCAAATGAACAGACGCTGGAACACTGAAAGAGGAACATCGTTGTCCCTGTCGGAGAAGACGACGTCATCGTCATGAAATAACACCCACTGCTGTATCTGCAGAACTAGCGATGGTGGTGTCGAGCGAGCCCCAGCAGGCACGTAGACCCGTCCTTCCACTGACAACAGAGTCGTTCTGGCGGGATCCTCGGGATAGTCAACCACCTCGGTGTAGGCCAGTGACTCGGCGTTGATCCCCCCGCGGCCGCCACAAGAGTGGTTATGCAGCACGGCTACTAGGTGGCAGTGTTGGAATCTGTAACCGCTGGGCAGGCCGTGGACCCTAAAGAACCACATTAGCGAAGGCAGTGGACCATCACCCCGGTACAGATATAGAGCTCCCAGGTCCGGGCATTTGGTGACGATGAGCTGATCAATTGCTGGGGGGCGGACGTCGGTGATAGGATGCAATCTTGCGCAATAGTGGCAGCAGAACATCCGAGGGAGGTCTCGGACTAGTCTGTTGAGGGCAGAAAGAGCTATCGACTTGTTGCACCGCACTGGATTGAGGTCGCAGAGACTTGTCGTAAAGCCATGTAGCGTTCGGCTGCATATACCTAAGCAGATGATGTCGGTTATTGCCAAGAATCGTGTGACATGGAGTAAAAGCTCAAGCGGTAACAGTTCCAGGTCAGAAAGTCGCTTTTCGTGTGGGCGGCTGCGTAAGAAGAGTTGAAGTGGCCGAGAAAGCCAGTCTTTCAAGCCCTTCATAATGCTGTGAGGTTTCTGGTATGGATTCAGGTGGACGTGCGTTAAGAAAGACTGCTTGCGGGCTGGTGGGGAACGTGGATAAGTGATGAACTCGGCTACGTGAGGCTATCCGAGCGGAACTATCAACATGGGCTGTGGCGGGCGGTGAGCAGTCTGGCTATCGGGGCCTCAGCGCCGCCGACACCCTCATACAAATCACGGTACCGTGTCTAACTTACGTGGCTCTGTCTTTAGTCGAGCGGTAAGACGGTCTGCCGATTGTACAATACTTCCTCAAGCAACGGCTTGGGTCCTTTTGTAGGCTGTCTGGCATAATTCAACACGACTGTACTCCATACTGTAATTCTTCCTCGGTCTATATACTCCGTACATTCTCTTTCATAATCTGCTTCAAGTTTGTTTATGCTTACCTGAACAGTCTACTTTCTTGTCTTGTCGTTTTTAATATAAAAAAAATGCTGACAATATTATCTCAGCCAGCGCTGGCTACCCTCCTGGTTCTTGATATATTTCCTGGGTTTATAACTGTCGACAAGCGCTGCGCGGGAAATCCAGCTATCAAGCACAATGTTTATTCCTTGTCGTATGCCAACAGTCTCTAGATATGAGGGGATCAAGGATCAGCTCAAGTAAGCTGGCTGTGTTTCCTGAACCATGATCAAAAGTCAAAAGCTGACTCTCGATTCCTATGATGTCTGAGTTCCATCTACCTGGGTAGGTCGACAGGCATGACAAATAAAGAAGAAAGAATCCTCGAAGTAGCAACCGGGGCTATGTTCCGTAAACAGCCACCAAAAGTGAGTTCATCGGAGAGCAACTCCCATAGACACATGTTGTCATTCCCGCGTGGACAGTCAGTCAGCCTGGATTGTCTGCGCAGTTTCCGCTCCTCCCACTACGCATGCACCTTCTACCATCCAACCACGCCTTTCCACCTTTCTTCGGTCTTCACAAACAGTCGACAGGGTCAACAACATTAAAATCAGAGCCTGAGACACCGACCATGAGCTTGGGCACCAATATGATCGATGAGCAAGTAGAGTGCGCAGCTCAGCATGCCACGAAGAACGTCGCCAGCAGCGGGGTCCCCGAAAGCATCAACAGCGGTATCAGCAATCCTCCAGAATCGATGCTCTCAAAGTTCGAGCTCCTCCCGGCAGAGCTTCTGCTCTGCGTCAAGAGTTTCTTGGGGAATACAGACGCTATTCACTTGGGCATGTGCAGCCAGACTCTAAGGAAGAAGATCCGCCAGTCTCCCATCACAGAGGAGCTGAATAAAGTAGTTAGATCAAGCATCTCCTCTCCCTCTCTTTGGGTTTCCCTCTCCTCTTCCCCTCACTAACTCCAAAACTCGTTCTCTAGACTAGTACATCCACTCCTACTCAAAACAAACTAGAAACGGTGATCATCTGGCTCGGCGTCTTCCACCCCGAAATCGAAATCCTGCGCCTCACATATCTCGTCTTACGCGACTGCACCCGATCACTGCCAGAACCACCCTCATCGGAGGAGGCTAGAGTCAGTCTCCTCAAGGCCATGGTCAAAATCCAGAAGACCCAGCTGCGCCTAGACGAGGAGTCGTTGCGTCAGCTGCGGGAGCTGGTCCAGGTGAACAAGCGCCAGAGCGCGCAGCTCGACGAGATCATTCGGTTGCTGAGGGCGGCGCTGGACGGCCGGGACACGGCCTCGGAGGCTGGGGAGGTTGGATAGCTTCCCCAATGCGGCGAATGGGTATGGTAGATGTGTTGTGTCTGAGAGAATCACGAGGGAGGGATTGAGTGCTGAACGGAACAAATACAGGCTCCTATAGGCATCGTAGGGATCCTGCTCAATCAAGCTTGCCCACGCCCTTAGTACACCAATGCACGATGTAAACCATTGAGTCCACCGGACGTCATCAACCGAGATAATAATGCTGATGGAAGGCCATTGTCGGCCGATAGTCCCGGGGAATCGTGACCCTCCCCCCGATAATGATCTCACTGTAGTATCATTACGATCTTGCTTGCTACAGTATATATTAACCATGATGGCGCCACGAGGACTCGACGCTACTCTTACTCCCCAAGAATTGTAATTATACAATGGCATCCGGACTGGCATACCGCCTTGATCGGCCCAGTCGGAATTTTCTCGACATCCACTCCGCGCCACGAAAGCGTTTCAAGAGCGCCGTGAAGCTTTACCGAGCCCGATGTCAAAAGCCGCAACGACTGCATAGCCCGCCGCCGCCGCTGCTGCAGCAACATCCACAGCCTATGTGGACCACACTACCGCTGGAGATCGTTCGCATGATCTTCCTGAACCTCGACATGGTCACCCTTGGCAACTTACGACTAGTCAACACCACGATCCACCAACAAGTTGATGCGGCTCTCTTTGAATATCGCCTTCTCCGAAATCACGCAGCCGAGACCCTCCAAGCACTGGACCTGGCCCAATGCACGCACTACTTCTCGATCCAACAGCTGTATCACGAGTTCTGCCACCCGGGGTGCCGGACCTGCGCCAACTTCGGCCCCTACCTCTACCTTCCGACCCTCTCCCGGGTGTGCTTTCCGTGCGTCCTGTGGCACGGCCGACACCGCGTCGCCTCCCTGGAGGACGTCCTGCAGTTCTACCGGCTGCCCCTCGAAGACTGGTGCCATCTCCCGGTCATCTACACCGCGTTTGACCTGCTGGGCAAATATCCGATGTCGGAACGGATGCTCATCGACATCACGCAGGCCGAAGCCCTGCACAAGCAGCGCGGCAGCCCCCCACCGCCGCGCGAGAGCTCCACGTACCGGAGCTATTATGGCTTGACCTTCCACTGCCGGCAGGCGTCCACGGTGGCCTTCCCCTACTGGGACCCGCACACCCGCGTGGCCGAGCCCGGGGCCTACTGCCTGGGGTGCACCGATTTCTGGGAGCGATCTCGCCCGAAACGCCGCGGGGCCCCAAAGACCTGGGATGAGTACTATGCATGGGGCCCCGGGGTCAATTGGCGGGGCCGCGAGGCGGTCGAGCGCGCATTTCGGGTCCCCGAGCTGCGGCAACACTTCCGGACGTGTCCGCATGTTGTCCGGCGGCGGCGGTTTGGATACGAAGGGGAAGAGGTGATGGAGATGGCGCGGAGGTTTGACGCCCCGATTGGGCGGGTCTTCCGGATTCCGACTCCTCGTCGTCGTCGTCGTCGTCGTGAGGATCGAGCTGCACTGAGACGGTCCGCACGGCTTCAGAAGATGAGGGAGAGAAGAAAAGAAACATGTTGACGGGCCCTGCAGCCTCAGTAGTCAGGCTGTCGCCCACTACTGCGCCACCCACCTCGGTGGTTCTTCGCTGGCTCCACCTCTCGAATAGCCTCGCATAGCTGAATTGACCTGTTGAGGAAATAGCATTGGAAGGCATCTGCTGATTTTACCTACTTGATTCGATCAACTTTGCCTTACTTATATCACATTATATGATAAACCCTGTTCAGAAAGTGTCAAAGTGGCCCCCTACAGCTTCCAAACAGCTGCTACAGACGCCTTCTCGCTGGATTCGATTTGCTCGGAGCAACTGTCTGACACACTTCTCCTGCGCCGCAGGTCCAGGTCCCTATCTATTTATCCCTACTATCCCGTGCGGACTATCGAGGTCCGAAAGAACAATTACTGCTACCAGCACTGTATCGACCCCCGGGCAATGATGAGTATAAACCGATACGATGGGAGGTGCCAGAATTTGGACGAGGCTGCAATGTACTGTACTCGTGTTGGGGTCTTTGTTGTCGTGGGTTGATCTCGTTTCCCTTGCTTGGCAGAGACTCAGGGAGTCAGGGATCTGGTATTGTCCCCACTGATCCTTACTATTGTTCCTTCCTATGTTAGCAACCACCGATAAGCGCTCTCCAAAGAATCCAGCCAGCAACACGATGTTCATTCTTTGTCGCATCATGGATGCAATAGTCTCGTGGATCGAAGGGGAGCAGGGATCAGCTCCGTCAAGCTGACCCTTGTTCCCTGTATTTAATCGCCCCTGTCGTCTGCCGCCCTGAGGCCCGAGCTCTCGCAAAGAGCAGCTCGAAAAGCATTTCATCCTGAATTCACACCTCCAGCAAATAAGCACCACAAGAAATGTCATCCAAGCGCAGTGTCCTCATCACCGGCTGCTCCGACGGCAGTCTCGGATCCGCCCTCGCGCTCCAATTCCACCAAGCGGGCTGGCGCGTGTTCGCCACGGCCCGCAACCCCGCGAAGCTCAAGGAGGCCGAGAAGGCGGGCATTGAGACCGTGCTGCTGGACACTCTGTCGGACGAGTCGATCCGCGCCTGCGTCGCCCGCGTCCAGGAGCTGACGGGCGGGTCGCTGGACGCGCTGATCAACAACGCGGGCGGCGGGTACTCGATGCCCGTCATGGACATCGAGATCCCGATCGCGCGGGACTTGTTCGAGCTCAACGTCTGGTCGCTGATCAGCGTCGCCCAGGCCTTCCTCCCTTTACTCCTGGAGTCGGCCCGGACCGGTGGCCCCGGCCGCGGCCCGACCTTGCTCGTCAACCACACCTCCATCTCCGGGACCATCGGCGCCACCGGGCCTTTCGCGGGGGCCTACAACGCCTCCAAGGCCGCTGCCTCCAGCTTCACCGAGACCCTGCGGCTCGAGCTCGAGCCCTTCGGCATCAAGGTGATCAACCTCGTCACCGGCGCGGTCCAGTCCACCTTCCATGATAAGGCGCCGCACCCGACTCTGCCTGCTTCTTCCCTGTACAATGTCGCCAAGGAGACCGTGGAGGGCGCCTTGACCAATACCGATCCCGAGAATGATACCCCCGCCGCGGCGTGGGCGAAGCAGGTGGTCCGCGACCTCAGTAAGCGCACTCCGCCGTATTGGATCTGGCGCGGCAAGCTCGCCAAGATGGCCCGGATCGCGGGCCTCCTGCCGCTGGGGTTCTTCGATGGGACGATGAAGAATTGGGTTGGCTTGGATGTGGTGGAGCAGCGGTGGAAGGAGCAGGTGAAGGCGTCATCTTGAGATGGTGAAGGTGTCCTGTGTAAAGGATTGGTATATAATGCACGCCTGTGCCTAGTAAGAAACTGAAGGTGTTGGTTGTACGGAGTTCTCTGGTGGTTTAGTCTTTGATCTTTGGCATAAGAGCCGGGAGGGAATTTTGTGATCAGTGGTATCTTGTTCATTCGTTGCTGCCTGTTACCGTGCTGTGTTTGTCTTTCCTGGAGTCTTGTCTTGCTGTGATTCTGGGAGTTTCGTTCTCTCTCAGCCGGTGGGACTATTTTATTCGAAATATATCGTAATGGGCCAACTGCATATACGAAGCTGGCTCGGATAATGATATTATACACAGCGATAATAAGTCAGTGCGTAGACCATCGGCAGAGCTTGATATAGGCTTGATCATGGGATAACAACAATGAGGAACTAGACGCCTGTGTCCAAATGGGACCTCAACGCCATCTATCTATCAGACCAAACATACTCTAGCAGTATGCAGCCCATTGCTTTGAAGCTGCTGGGCACCTGGTAGTAAGATAGAAAATGAAAGATCATAAACCACGCCTGATCCTCCCAGACTTGCTGTGTATATGGATGTAGTCTTAGCTCGGATGATTGGGTAAAGAGAGCGGGGGGTATAGAGGATCGACAGAGGTGGAGAGTACTAGGTATTCAAGAGGCGTGGTCTGAGACAGTATGCCTAAAACTGTCAGCAAGAAAAGAACCTCAGTTTGATCCATCATTAGGTATAATTAACATGTGCTGATATGGAAATCCACTCGCAGATCTGGTTAAACGACATTGATATAGCTACCTGTAGCTTCTAACAACACGCAGCAGGAAGATCCAAGGCGACGGGGCGGTCGAAACAGGGATGGCCATAATCAGACGAGCGCACGACCGCTATAGCTAGATCTGCTCCCTACCTAGTCTTGTATAAGTTCTCAGTTGGCCAGACCTGAAAACTGTTATGACTCCGGGAACGGCCACATGGCTCTTGCCTCATCCGGGGATCTTTCCTCGGCTGCTGCTCGCTCGATTCACATCGCCAGCAGCTCCCGATTCTGCCTCCGCTTCTGGGCAATATCCAGCTGCGGTGCAATCCACCCTTCGGCGTCGGTGTCGAGGCACTCCATCGCGAGTTGCTGGACATCATTCCACGCCTGATACTCCGCAAATTGGCGTGCGTGTCGACGGATATCTTCAGCGCTGAATGAATAAGGGCATTCACTCGTGAAATCTAGCGCCGACCAGTTCCGGGAAATCTCAATCACACACTCGCACAGCGGCACGATTCCCACCTCCGAGACTTCGCCGCAGCGGACGAACAACTCCCGAAAGACGCGGGGCACAACGTTCACCATCGCGTCGTGGGCGACGCGGTCGTCGAGGAATTTGGCGACTTCGTATGCTTTGGCGAGCTTGGCCTGGGAGAATTCCTGCAGAGCAGCTGCCTGGCTTTCTCCGTCGAGGGAAGTGAAACCGTCTGGGAGTGTGGGCTCACAAAACCCTTTGGATAGTCTATTGGGGGCTTGAGAAAGACTGGCCATCGGGCTTGAAGGAGTAGAGGGTGGATGGACAGGGACTGAAAGTCGATCAGGGAGACGATTCTCGAGCTTTCGTCCGGAGCTACGAAGATGTTTCTCATGTGGAGGTCCGTGTGCCATAGTGTAGGCTGGCCCGATTGGCCGATTGATGGGTGCGAGTCGATCTGCCGGAATACACTCATTGCAGCTTCTAGGAGCTGGGTTTGCGCTTGAATGCTACCTTGGTGGAATGGTAACCGGGGGGTTGACTGTCGGTGCGTGATCCGGAATATCTCGCGTTTTGCAATTGAGCTTCCCAGGTCTGATAACGTTCGCCCTGGAGATCGGTTAGCTGACGCAGCACATGGTCTATTGTGGTAAGAGCTCACAAGGCCCATGGCTAAAGCTTTCAGACCGGGGGGCAGCTGAATCAGTCGCAGCCGAAGGATGACATGATGGCCCGACGCAAAACCGATCAGAAGAGTCTACGTCCACACACGCCTGTGGCGATCGTATTGGGTCCGCATCAACCCTCCGATAGAGCCCCCCGTACGCAGGAAATGTAAGGGCTGACAGTTGCGCCTCAAGCTTCACCAGATCCTGGATCAGCCCCAACCTCTCGATCTCCGCCATCCCCTCCCATCGTTCATACAGCGGAACCCCTGCCGCCTTCTCCATAATGATGTACTCGGCTCCTCCCGGGTTTCGAACTGTCCGAAGACCAGGAGAGCACTCCTGGAACGGGGATTCGCGTATACTTCTTAACTGATACCATATGAGCATCCGTAAGATTGATGAATAAGGGATACATACCATACTGCAGAGCCGCGACCTCAGAAACGGTAGTCAGGGAGGCTGGTCCCGCGATATGATACGGGAGCTTCGCAACAACCTCCTCGTCATTCTCCTTCGTCAGCAGCAGGGCTTTGCTGAACCCTCCCTCGAGCTTCTCAATCGTTCTGATCGGGGACGGGCTTGCCCCTGCTGTCGCAGCGAGATCGCAGAGAGCGTTGATATTGAACTTCAGGTATCGTCGACGGAGCTGGGTTTCTTCGTCGATGAGGAAATGGCCATTGGTGTAGGTGAATAGCTCTTCGCGGGTGATGGATTTGCCTAAGAGAGTTAGAAGGGTTCCGCTACTAGGTGAAAGTTACTGTGTTTTGGATGTGATTTACCTCGACAAAGGATGGATAGTGGCGCTATTGAGCTTCGAGGCTTGAGGCTCCTGGGGGATCTACGGAAGGAAAGCATACTGGAGCTGGGCTCTTCGAACACATGGGCAGATGTGGAGGAGTGGTTGTTGTAATAGACAGGTACAGGGGACGATGTAGTCGAGGGATTAGTCAGCGTGATGTACCATGCAGGGAGCAGACATCACTTCTGGCACTCTTGGGGATCACTCCTAACGTCTTTCTCACTACATCAGGATGAAGGTAGTTCAATGACTTGCTCTGCCTCTGCTCTCCTGGTCAGCAAGTCGCAAGTGATCGAATAATGCCACTACTGACGCAACAGAAGCTTCGAGATTCAGGTAGTTGCATGACACGATGAGGCCTCAAGAGATCTGAGCCCCTGATGGTTATTGGAAAGATGACCGCCCTCGGAAAAATCATTTTAGATTTCTTCTCAGATCACAAGAATCAAGATCCACAGGCAAAGGCACAGACACGAATGAGGAACCAAAAGCACAATGTATTCAGCATGTATGAGAAAGGACGCCGCGCCATGCACGCATATCATGAACAACATATTCAACCCTAAAAGGATCCAAATCAAACACCTACCCCCCACCCCCAACCGCAGGGTCGTAGGGGAAGAACCGATGCAAATACCAGAACAAGCTCAAAATCCCTCCCCAACCGCCTTCTGCCCATGCCTCGTCCTCCGTCCCCCGCCCCACCCCACATTCTCCAGCTCCCGGAACTCCGGCACCAGCTGCTGATCCCCGAGACCGGCAGCCTTACCGGCACTCTTCTTCGCCACGGCCTTCCCCGCCTGATGCAAGAACTGCTCGCGCATGGCCACGGCGTCCGGATCCTCGTAGTCCAGCTGCGTCATGGCCGGCGGCTCGTTCTCGTCCTCCTCGCCCGCGTACTCATGCTCGTACTCGGACATGACCATCGAATTGCTGGCGGTCCTGCCCTCCATGTCCAGGTACTCGAGTCGGGCGGCGGTGCTGTTCGCGCGGGAGAGGATGCCGCCGCTGTCCGCGGGGTGGTTGGAGTCGAAGATGGCGCTGCCGCAGCCGTCGTCGTTGAGGGTGTCGATGGAGCTGGCGCGCGAGAACGAGAACGCTTTCGTCTGCGGGTGGTGCTGGTCAAGGGAGACGAGGCCGCCGCTGTTGGTGCGGCTCGAGGGCGCGCGTCCGAGGAGCGGTTTCCGAGCGCGGGAGCGGGGCCGGTCACCGTGGCTGTCCCCGGGTTCAGAACCAGAATTGGTGCGGGCTTGTTTCATGAGGCCGCTGACGGCCAGGTCGATGACGGATTGCGCGGTCGGGCCGGTGGAGACATCGGAGATCTTGCGTTTGAGCGGTGAGGAGCTCGTGGAGGTGATTGAGTTCTTCTTGATGGGCGATTCTTTGACTGGGGTAGGGACTCGAGAGCGGTCGTCTGGCTTCGCTTTGGATGGTGCTTCGTGCCGTGGATCAAGCCCATCCGCCTTGGCGGTGTCGGTTGCTCGAGAAGGGTGGCCTGTTCCATCGATTCGGGTTTTTGGTTGGCCAGTCTGGTGATGAGCGGTTGTTTTGGTGGCGTTCGTGGGCTGGTTGGTGGTTGAGGATGGTCGGTTCTGCTCCGGATGCGAGCCAGCTCGCTTCTCCCGAGACTTGCCACTTTGGGTAGATTGCTTCTGAATTAGATAGGGTTCGAAAGGCTGCTTTTTCTCGTGGCGAATGGAGGCCCAGAGCCAGTCCGCAGAGACTGCTGGCACTCCCCACTCCTGAGTATGCCGTAGCTTGTCCTGGTTCACAGGGCTGGCGTCGTTGCAGACGAGCACAGAAGCCTTGGGCGTCAGGTACTCGTTGTATGTAGCACCTAAAGGATTAGTCTTGGTCTAATATGAAGCCGGAATGTCCCTTACCGATTAGATTGACAAGCTTGGACAAGTGCAGGAGATCGATACGGAAGAACCCGGTTGAGCAAACCTTAAGGCCAGATAATCCTAAAACCGTCAGAACAGTCTCCAAGCTTGAAGCGAGAGGACTTACCGTCGACCGGAAATGAGGGAATGGGCGTGTTTGCGACGTGGGATTCTGGAGGCACGAGTGTTTTCGCATCAAGGCATCTCTCCAGCCACATATCCGTCACCACTTCGCATTCGAATGCCAAATCATCGGTGGAAGGAACCTGGGTTTTAGACATCTTGAAAGGAACGATTGTGTACAGACCGTGGCCGGTTTTCGGGATGTCTGATCGGGTGAACTCGCTCAAGGATCCCACCAATTGTGCCCCGTTGAACGATAGATGGTGGCGTAGCACGTTCGTCTGCCGAACGTATTAGTTTCTAGCCCGATGGCATCCGTACCCCGAGACACAAACCTGTTTCGACGAGAACCCATGTATGTAAAAGTAGCAGCCATGCAGAAACCCTTCATCCTTGCTAGCGACCGGCTCCGGTGGTGGCTGGGGACGTGACTCTTGCGCCTCCGCCATGGTCGTCTCGCTAGCGAACGACTTCACCTCCTGGAGGCCCGAGCTAGCCTTCCGCAAGGCCCGGGTCTCGCTCTGCTGGCTCCCCTTGGACCGGCCAAAGTCGCCCGCCTCGAACCCGATGCCAATAATATCGCCCCAGATGCCTTCGTTCTGGTCTCCAAGCTTCGTGCTCGCGATACGGCGCAGTTTCCGGGGTCGGGGATTATTCGAGGGGTTCTCACTGTCGGCCCCCGACGCAGCCTTGGGCTTGGGCGCGGGCAAGGCTCGATGCCAGGCGCCAACGCCATGCTGCTCTGCCGGCAATTGCAGGTCGTACAGGGCCTCTTCCAGGACCATCCCCCGCTCGAGACTGTCGGTGAGCCACTTCATCGAGACGATCTTGATCCCCCACTGCATCGCGAATTTGTACTTGTCCCCCTCGGTACTCCGCGCGATCAGGTGGCTGGTGCCTTTCACGAGGTCTTTCCGAAACTCGGCGCCATGGGCCGTGACTGTGTCTTGGATGTAGTTCCTAACCGACACTGAAGACAAAGAAGAGAAAGTTGTTAGACGAGCCCCCAGATCTGTGTCCGATGAACTCAAAACTCACTATCCTCAAACCCCGTAATACAGATGGACAAGCCTCCAAAAACCGGGAATCGGTACGCGGCCTCCAGCGCGCGGATGTCCGTGTCACCGCCCTTCATCCAGGACTGACGCACTGCCTCGACCCATTCGGGTTTCAGGACCGTGACGTCGGCGCGTTCCCGCGCGACAAATTTGTACTTGGGCGTGTTGACCTCGCCGATCAGCAGGTGAGTGACATCGGAGGTGAGGTCGAATTTGTGGGTCGCTCCCATCTGACTCGCGACGGAGGCAATCTCAGACTATCGGCCATTTCCAAAGATGTTAGCGGACATTATCGTGGTGGGAAGAGCCATGACTTTAGGGTGTGGGTGGGATCGAGACTTTACCCGCTGCTCGGGGAGGATTGAGGTGAAGCAGAGAACCACCCCGGTGAGGGGATGCTCCTTGTCTATTCCAGGTCATTGGGGCTTAGTGCTAAACTTGCAATGGTAGTGTTCAAAGAAAACTTACTTGCGCCCGCAGTCTCAGCCATCGTTCATGGTCGCCGAGCAGAATGAGACCTCCAGCCTGTGCGATGGGGTGAATCTTGGTTTGCTTCCCCGACTTCGCGCCGGAGAGCGCGCAAAGGCGATGCGCGATCACGTGACTGGGTGGTATCAGTGGGTGCCGCTCTCATTTTGTCTAGGCTTATACTTGAGAAGCCATGAACCACTCTACGACAAAACACTAATCTTGATCACAGACCAAGAGACTCACAGCCAACCCAAATTCCGGCCATGTCTGCTCCAGCACCAGCTTTCACGTGCTTAGGGCACGACGGCTTATCAGCATGTCACGTGCGATAAGGGGCAGAGTGGCGCGGGCGCGTATCCAATCAACAAAAACGCGCATATTTCCAAAGGAACGCGGATTAACTTCCAATTCGAAAAAAAAAAAAAAAAACCACTACTCATCAATAACAGGATAGGATAAACCCCACCTCCACAAGAATTCCTCTCCTTCGCGAGACCCTTATCGGCCCCGAGAAGCTAGCATATGCACCTCGCCAGACACCACGTACGGGCGTCATCGGGTTCATATCGTCAATTCACCACTTCCAATGGTCCATTATTGATACCACCGCGATCCGCCTCGAATCGACTCCTCCCCCCTCTTCCGTCTTCTCGTCGTCGACCATTGTCTCCGTCCGGACGAGGACCAACCCCTCCAATGTTCCAGCGAGCTGCCAACCGATACCCCGCCGCGCCGGCGGCTCCGCTGCAATCCACGCTCGGGGCTCGCAACAACAGCAGTGCCGCACCGCTGCACAAACCGGCGGCCCCGGCGTCGTCGTTAGGGGTCAAGCGGAAGATCGAGATGACCAGCACGCAATCGACGCTGGGATCGCTGCACGACGAGGTGTACTTCGATGAGAACGACTTTGACGATGACGAGGACTTGGACTTCGAGGCTCCCGATCCATTCACTCGCCCCGCCGCCCCCGCCCCCGCCGCCGCAGTGGCTACTCAGATCGGCAGACCGCCCAAGATCACGAAACAACAGAAGCAGGAGGAGGAGGATGGGATGGCGGGATACCCGAATCTGAGCAGCGCGTTCGCGGACGATAAGATCTCGGTCGTCGACCTGACGGAAACACCCACCCGCGATACGTCGTCGGCGGCCGTGAAGTACCCCGACCTCCCTCCGATGCCCGCCGATGACAATCAGCCCCCCTCGAGCAGCATACAGTACCCCTGGTCCTCGTCGCCCCCGTCCCACTTCCAGGCGCCTGCCAAGAAACCGCGGAAACTGCCATGGCTGGACGAGGAAGACGAAGAGGGGGGTATGGGTCCCCGGAAGCCCGTGACGCCTGCGCGTCCGAAGCAGACGGCGATCTGGAACAAGTCCGCGAGCGCGATCAAGGAGGAGCAGCGGGAATTGCGGCGGCAGAACAAGGAAATGAAGGCGCTCGTGACGGGCCAGCTGCCACCACCCCGTGCGCAGGTGGCGTCGATCTTCCTCAGTGACGAGCAACGACACGTTCTGGACGCGGTGGTGCAGCAGGGGAAGAGTATCTTCTTCACAGGATCGGCCGGAACAGGAAAGTCGGTGCTGATGCGGGAGATCATCAAGAAGCTGCGGGACAAGTATAAACGGGAACCGGATCGGGTCGCGGTAACAGCGTCGACCGGTCTCGCCGCTTGTAACATCGAGGGCGTGACGCTGCACAGCTTTGCGGGGATCGGGTTAGGCAAAGAGCCGGTGCCCGAGCTGGTCAAGAAGGTCAGTCAGCATCCGGCCAACGCGCCGCACAAGAATGACGGCGTAATGTGCCATGGCTAACGGCGTAGCAGATCAAGAAGAACCAAAAGGCGCGGAACCGCTGGCTGCGCACCCGGGTGCTCATCGTCGACGAAGTGTCCATGGTCGACGGGGACCTGTTCGACAAGCTGGAGGAAGTGGCCCGACTGATCCGCAACAATGGCCGTCCGTTCGGAGGGATCCAGCTCGTCGTGACCGGCGACTTCTTCCAGCTGCCCCCGGTGCCCGAGGGCGGCAACCGCGAGGCCAAATTCGCCTTCGCGGCCTCGACCTGGAACACCTCGATCCAACACACGATCCTGCTCACCCACATCTTCCGCCAGAAGGACCCGGAGTTTGCCGACATGCTGAACGAGATGCGCCTGGGCAAGTTGACCCCTCGCACCATCGAAACCTTCAAGCAGCTTTCTCGGCCGCTGAACTTCCACGACGCTCTCGAGGCTACTGAGCTGTAAGCCTTACCCCCCACCCCCCCTTAAAATCCAGACATGATATTGACAGCTGGCTAGATTCCCCACCCGGCAAGAAGTCGACCACGCGAACAGTGCGCGCATGAATCGACTCTCGGGCGAAGTGATGACCTTCACCGCGCAGGACTCGGGGACGATTCAAGACCCGCAGTTTCGCGAGAAGCTCCTCTCCAACTGCATGGCGCCGCCGGTGATCCACCTGAAGAAGGGGGCGCAGGTGATGCTGATCAAGAACATGGAGGACACGCTGGTGAACGGGTCGATCGGGCGGGTGGTCGCGTTCATGGACGAGGCGACCTTCGACTACTACATTGAGAACGAGAACGAATTCTCGGGAGGCAACAAACCTGATGGCGAGGGCGACAACGAGATCGACAACGACGACGCCGCGATCATGGCGCGGGCCCGCAAGAAGCTCAAACCGCTCGCCCACAAGGACGGGGGTGCGGCCGCCGCCGTGACGACGCGCAAGTGGCCGCTGGTGTGCTTCGTGCAGCCCGACGGCACGGAGAGGCATCTGCTCTGCCAGCCCGAGACGTGGAAGATCGAGCTCCCCAACGGCGAGGTGCAGGCGCAGCGCCAGCAGGTGCCGCTGATCCTGGCCTGGGCGCTGTCCATCCACAAGGCGCAGGGCCAGACCCTGCAGCGCGTCAAGGTCGATCTGGGCAAGGTGTTCGAGAAGGGCCAGGCTTACGTCGCGCTGAGTCGTGCAACCTCCAAGGCGGGCCTGCAGGTTACGCGGTTCGACGCCCGCAGGGTCATGGTCCACCCCCGGGTCATCGACTTCTACTCCAAGCTGGTCAGCATCACCGACGTTCTGAAGCCGAAGACCAGTAGGGGGGCGGCAGCTGAACCTGAGGATGATTTTGAGGAGTACTACGGCTCGTTTTAGGGTCTTTGCACGGGCTTAAGATTCTTACGGCCACAGGCAATCTTATACCTGTCAAGGTCAGCGGGCTGGGTTCATGACTAATGATTACATTGATTGTGCAGATATCGATATTGAGTGGGTGTTATATGGGCTCCAGATTGTGTACGAGGGGTGGGTGGGAAAATCGCTGTAACATAGACCATTAATCAGGGTGTTGCGTCTAGTTCGAGAATCGAACAAGATTAAGGAAGTAAACATGGCTCGAGCCTTCCCCTACCATGGCACACAATCCCCCCAGCCAAAGCCAATGGACACTAACATCGTAGGACTGGTGTACGATCGCAAACAACTACTAACCGCATCACAAACAAAAGGAAATGAAAACACCTTTCCTGCTCAACCTCCCTTCGAGGAGGTAAGGGAGACAAAGACAAAAATAGTGGCCCGAACCGCGATTCGAACGCGGGGCCTCTCGCATTTAAGATGTGGATCCCAAAGCGAGAATCATACCACTAGACCATCCGGGCTCTTATGATGTCAGAAGTTGACTTACTTAATATAAGACTACCTCAAATCAGAACAGAGTCGAGGAAAACAAAAACAAAAGAAACAAGGCCCGAGCCGCGGATCGAACGCGGGACCTCTCGCAGATATGCTTGGGTTTGGAATCCCTAAGCGAGAATCATACCACTAGACCACCCGGGCTTGATGATGTCATTTGCTGGATTTGTGGTATTATAGAAGGAAGGTGTGTGGATGTGGATATATATGATGGGGGGGTTGAGTTTATATTTAGGTGACTGTGCGGCCTTTCAAAACCTGTTTCTCATGCCCTATGTATATTTCACGGGTGATCAACTCTACACGACAGACCTGTACACAGAGAATACCTAGAGTTGTTGTTTACTGCGAAGTTGAACGCTTGTTGGGAGCTTCCGCCCTGTGCAATATATATAGAGTACCACGCGTGGCATTCGAGCCTCTAACCCGATTAATCGGGAACCACCACGCACACTTTCATCCGCCATCGCCTGACATGTCAGTAGCACAAGAAGAATGTCAACCACGGATGGCAGGTTTCCAAAGAAGAAGAGTTGGAGATTTGAAGTTGTGGCTGCGCACGGAAGTACAAACAATGCAAATCAACCATACAAACTGGTGCAACTTGAGCCTCGTGCCAGGTGCATATACAGGAAACCTCACAGGAAACCCCAAGGAGGGAATCACGAGAAGAGAAGGTTACCTCTGTTACATCGTTAAACAAGTGAGATCTTGGTCTGTATATCTGGTGAGAAGTGTTCCAATTTGAATCTAAATCTATTCAAGTCCTGCTTAGATATAACTTATACTCTGGACAGACTCGGACATACTATCACAAATCTGCTCAGCAAAATACAGAGTACAGGTACTCACCTGGCTAGCCGTGAGCAGCTTCCCGTTCAAGTGTCTCATCAGCTACTAGATGCCTGCTACAAGTGTCGATAGAATGCCAGACTAAACACCAAAAGGGCCTAGCAGACCCTGCCTGACCAAGTACACAAAACCTGTCGGATCTCTCCCCCCCCCCCCCTTCCCCCTTCAAGTTTTCTCTCTCTCGTTGCGCGAGGCTTCACGTTTTCATCCTCACCAAATTTCCTTTTACTTGCATTTCAATTAACAGAACATCCTTCTCCCCCTCTTCCTCCATCATGCACGATGATCATCCGTCTCCTGCCGACCAAGCCGACCAGCCCACCATTATCACCTTCGACAACAGCGGCGACGGCCCGCTCCGAGTGCCCGGTTTTGGCACGATCCCTCTGACATACGAGCTCCCATCCGACGCGCGCTTTGCCCACGGCATCCAAGAGTGGCGACAGGCGCCCGCCGTCACCGCCCGAGAGCTGGCCATGACAACCGCCATGAACCGTCTGACCGACCGCCCCAACTGGCATGTCGACGTCTTCGATGACGGGGTCGTGGCGCGCTGGCGACAAGACAGCATCGCCTCCCTCGCGATGAATCCCCTGCTGAGTGATCGGGCCTGGGCCTGGTGCGTCCGGGAACTGCGCGACAAGGCCGTCGAATATCGTCAGAAGGGACATATCCGGGTGCTAGACACGGGGTCCTGTGTTTGCAAGTCGGACCATGTTCCTGCGCGAGGAACGGGGGAGCTGGCCGGGGAGTTCCGACGCGCCGTGAAGCCGGTGCTCCGCGCCCTCGTGCAATCCGGGATGGTGGATTGGCGGTCACGGCATCGGTTGAGTATCATCGACCCGACCTTGTTTCCGCTGGTCTATGGGCGGAGCCCGGTCTTGGCGGATGGGGGTCGAGTGGAGCTAGGGGATGTGTGGGGCGCGTACCAGGGAGCGACTCCCCTTGCGCCTACTCATGTGGATAAGAGGACCGATGCGGCGGATGTTCAGAGGCAGATGGAGGAGGCCCGGCATGTGCATGTCGATGATGAAACAGCGCCTCACTACCGGTGGAGCGCGAATTATCAGGCTCTACCGTGTGAAGTGGAGTTCATCGGCGAGGCAGGGTCAACGCAGGTGCGCCTCACATCGTACATCAACAATCTACACCCGATGCACAAGCACCTCTACCGGACAATCGAGACGCTGATGAGCCGGGCGATTCCATTGTGGAACGACTGTCTGGTGCAGGGACAGCGCGGCTGGAAGGATTTCCTGAACCAAGGCCAGCTGGGGCCGGTCCCGCTCCGGATCATCACGTATGGAGTCGAATGGGAGAATGAGCTTCCCGAATGGCTGCTCGCCTTCCGGGTCCCAGGGTCAGGAAGGAAGAGGATGTACCGCAAAGCGCGAGAAGCGCTTCTGGACAGTGTGGGAGATGACACGGACGAGGGTCGCCGCAGACACCGAGAGGCGCAAGAACGGCTGGACTGCTATCCAGACGTGGAGGGAAACGAAGAGAAGGAGTTGCCGCCCCCGGAGTCAGAGCTCTGGCAACGCGCAAAGGAGTATCTCGAGCTCCCTGGGGACGGGTCTGACACTCCCGTTCCTGCCCCGGACGACTGGCAGCAAGACACGTGGGGGAAGATCCAAGGCAATCTCAAGCGGCTGCTGCGTTTCTGTCACCCCGAGCCAGGGACCGCATTTTCTTACGAAGAGTGGAAGACGGCGCGCCACAACGAGAGAGCTGTGGTGGATCTAGTCCGCGAGAGGAAGCACTGGCACGATGTTCCCTACGAGCCGCTCACACCGCCCCACAAACCCTATACAATTCGGCTCCAGGACACCTTCCGTTTGCAGGGACTACAAATCATTGTCAACATGGAGAACATCGAGCTTACCCCTGACAGTGGGGACTACAAAGGCACGGACTGGCACATGGAAGGCCAGCTCAACGAACACATTGTTGCTATTGCCGTGTTTGCCTACGATATCGACAATATTACCGAACCCCGAATCGCCTTCCGTCAGAATACTAAGCTAGATGAAAGCTTCTATCGATATAGGGAGTACAAAGAGCAAGGGCGAAAGTGGCAGTGGCATCCCCGACTGCTGCCCGCCCGGCGATATGGGAAAAACACCCACTCGGATCTGAATGAACTGGCACAGATCTTAGGATTTTCAAGCTTCGACCTCGACATCGACAATCACGCAGCAAGGACATGGCAGGATCAAGGCGCAGTTTCGCTCTCGCAAGGGCGTGTGATTGCATTCCCCAACCTTCTCGAGCACCGCGTCGAGCCCTTCTCCCTGGCCGATTCCAGCCGCCCGGGGCATTATCGTTCCATCACCTTGCATCTGGTTGACCCGCACTATCGCATCTGCTCCACCCGTAATGTGCCGCCGCAGCAGCATCACTGGTGGGCACAAGCGGTCGGGGAGACCCTGCGCGCTGCGGTCCGACTCCCCCAGGAGATTATCGACAAGATCCTGCAAAACACCGGCAGCTGGCCTATGGGGTTGCCGGAAGCGCGACGGCACCGCCACGCGTTTTGGCAGGAGCATCGCTGGAATAACCTGGTTCGGATGGATCGGATGGATCATCCGTACTTCAACTGTTGACTGTACGGGATATCACCGGAGGCCCTACAAGGTCTGGCAGGAGCCAAAGAATAAGCACAAACAAGCATAAATCTAGAACTCGGCACCAGCAACAGTTACATGTCCATAAAACTCAAACTTTCCAAGAGATCATCTGCCAAAGAGCTAGTCTAAGATAGCCTTGATAACTTCCGAAGCGTACAGTAGGCCCATAATGAGAACGCGCCGAGAGATACTGCCCGAGTCCCCGGGACATGTTCTAGGTGGGGGCGGGTTTACCGCACCCCTCGGAGTCCATTAGCCCTAATTGTCGACTTGGACCAAAGTTAATCATTTATCTCACTACTCATGATATCGCGATTAGCGAAAGCTTCTCGTAAGGGACCTCTTTGTCCTCGGATCGATCGGACCCAGGGAGCACTTTTTGGGGAGAGGGCTATGGGAGGTTTCTCTTGGAGCCAGTGATTAAGACAACTCACTGCTTCAAACGCAGGTGGCGACAGGAGTTTCAACATGGGAATGGAAATATAGTTGACAATTACGTTAGTTATAATAATTTCTGGACCGTCATTCCGTACATACGACCACAGGGTGTGGAAAATAGGGCTTCCCGTCCGCTCAGCCGTACTCAAGCCACACGCCGGGAGGTTAGTAGTTGGGTGGGTGACCACCAGCGAATCCCTTCTGTTGTATGTTTTTTACATCTTGTTTTTTTCCCCGGGGGGGGAGTGCAAAGATGATCTGAAGAATAGACCGGTGCATGAGGTAATTTACGCGCCGTGGCTTGCTGGACATGGTCCGGCTGACGTCCTCAGGATCCCTGTCAAGCGCCGAGCACCGTCTTCTCCCCTAATTGCGCCTTGTCGCAACTGCAAAGATAATTCGAAGAACGAGTCAGTGCATTAGGTAGGGCTATGGGGCTGTAGTTTGCTGAACATGGTCAGGCTGACGTCCTCAGAATCCCTGTTAAGTGTCGAGCACCGCCTTCTCCCCCCATTTGCGCCTTGCTGCGCTTGTCCGAGCAAAGCTTTATAACTATGGACGCCGCGGAAGGCGCAACCTGCTTGCCCAATTTCAACTCCTCCCGACTTCTTCATCTTCTTTCAACCAAAGCGTGGTGCAGGCTGTCCTGTCTGCCTGACCTCTTGATTATCTTGATGGCATATCGAAGGCATAAAGATTCTGAAAAGGCAGTTCGGCCGACTACTCCACCTGTCGATACAATCTATCCTAGTCCTTCTCCTTCACCATGCTCGCCCAGCAAAGCAGGTCCCTCTTTTACGGAGGAAAGCCGAGACCACCACCCCCGAGGCACCACCACTCCACCTGTCGATACAATCTATCCTAGTCCTCCTCCTTCACCATGCTCGCCCAGGAAAGCAGGTCCCTCTTTTACGGAGGAAGCAGAGACCACCACTCCCGAGGCACCACCTAGCAGGGGAGGATCCGAAGTGAGGGCACGCACCCCTGGTTCTCCCCCTCAAGGCGAACGTGACACGGGTTCCGAAGCGGACGAGCCACCCCAATGGCCCACCTCCGCGAGCGTGGAGGCTTTCCTCCTGTTCTTTCGCCAACAGCGTCAACAGCGTAGATGTGGAGGCTTAACTGACAAGGGGAAATCTTGTCAGCGATATCAGAGGCAAGCCAAGCAGTCGGAGATCGACGCGGCGATATTCTTGTTGAGGCGGCTGCCACGGTCTATGCCGTGTCACACACTGGCCGACACGTTGAGAAAGCTCGTGCTACTTACCCATTGCTATTTACACGACGGCGAAAAGACGGTCAGTGCTCGAGTGAATACCTGGCTCGACGAGTACTTCCCCCGCCCCACTGATGCGGCTGTGATTATCCAAAAGGCACTGCCCGACCTCAGTACTACGTGCCTGGGCAGCGAAGACTGCTCCTGTGCACAATCGCTGGGTGGCAGAGCTGTCCAGACAATCAAGCAGATCTTGAGCAAAATCAAAGACCCCGTGGTCTACTTGAACGACAAACGGCTAACGATCTGGCTAACGAGGCTTGGCCAACACGTGTTCCTGTGCCCTGCATCGGGAAACCCAGTCTCCGCTGCTGTTGAAGAAATGCCTCGCCGAAATTGCAGTCGCCCGGCCCTGTCGGGTCCAGAAAACAGGGATCGACCACGTCCCAGAGGATCAAGATGAAGCAGAAGGATTCTGGCAAGGTCGGCATGCTGCTCCCTATCCCCGCGCAGCTGGGACTATCCTGTAAGAGTATAACTGCTCACGTCCACTAGCCCCAGGATATGATACGTCGCCGTTTCATCTCCTTGCGACCGGTCGTCCGAGTAATGACGACGGCTGGATGCCAGGCAAAGCCTATGTACAAACAATCAGCAAATCCCTCGAATCGCGAAACACCCGGCCAGGCTTTATTTACGCCTATACCGTGGCTGGAAATGAGCGATATGTTAAATTGGCTATACCTGCAACCCGATCTCGCAAAGACATGAAGAGTGGACGTTTAGTTGCAACAGAGAGGTTATAAGTCTCTATCCGGCTGCGTCCGCTGTGGCCAGGCAAGTTGAGTCTCCGGAGCTGATTGAAAGCCTATGCCATGCAGAGCTTCGGGCTCACAGGATCAGAATCTACTGCGAAGCCTGCCAAAAGCAGCACGTGGAATGGTTCGATGTCTCCTCGGATAGGGCAACCATAGCTATCGAGAAGTGGTCTCAATGGATGACCAGGGTGGCCGACCATCGGCCCAACTGGAGAAATGCGGTCAAGGAAATAGTGCGAGGGAAGGCAGGTCTTGAGACAGCGTTGCACGAGTTGACGCAACTCTGATTAGCTAACATTTGTTGTTTCGGAATCTCACTGACTTTTTTGGCCGCTGCGGTTTCGGCCAATAACAAGCGTGTAGTCGGGATGCTAGACTCACATCGAGTGACTCGCTGCGTATACAGCCAAAGTCCCACGGCGCATGCTGCAAGAACAGTAAAACGAGGTTCAATGCTTGATAGTGGTCGATCTTGTGTGTCTTAGTTATGGCTGTGAAACTCTGCACAAGTGCAGGGCAAGAACAGAGGTGCTTGTTGGCCATGCAGAGCAGCATCGGACACTTGAACCTTGTATATATCCGCAAAGAAACTCATCCGAGTGACAGGAACGACTGAAATGGAGGGACTTTTGCTCGTGAATGTAAATCGAGGGGTGAGGCGGGGCTAGCCTACTATTCCGCGTGATAACCGGCGAAGAGACACCAAGTCATAGAAAAATAGCAGAGTAGCAAGAGTGGAACTATCCGTACTCCGTATATGATGCTTTTGCTGGTGAGTAGGGGGCGTAGGAGGCAGAGACCATCAACGCACAAGTAAGCACTAACTTAGACTTAAGCGCATCAAGGAACCATGTTTGTCGGAATCGGGGTGAAGTGAGGAGAGATGATCCCAGGCCCCAATTCAAATGATCCTTGCAGATGCGGCCACTACGTAGAGACTAGCTCGAGCCCCCGTCGATGTTAGTGCAGTGGCTAAGGCACTAGCACTGCGCACTTATGAGTAGATACCTACTAATACTACTCGGTGGGTAAGGGATCTTACTGTCTACGGCAGGCAATCTAGTGCTTACGCTTACTACTGCAAGCCCTAAGTAGAGCCCAGTGGATGCCCACCATCCCCATTGGCCAACCCGCCCATGACTTATTCGTAATCCATGATCATAGGCTGTGTTATTACCGTCCCATGTTGCTTTAAACTACACTACAATATGGTAACTACCGCACCAAGCAACCGGGTCTCCTATAAATACCGCGATCGCAACCCAGTGTCCCGTGGACGAACCGTCAGCCTATAGTACCCTACTTACATATTGCTTCCCAGTCTATTTCACTCACCGCATCAACGATGGATTCTCAAGTAGACACTTCTCTTGAAGCAGACTACGTGATTGTCGGAGGGGGAACGTCTGGTCTCGTTCTCGCGGCTCGACTGTCCGAGGGCGACTCGGCCCGCTCTGTGATCGTCCTGGAGGCAGGAAAAACCTAGTCGAGGACCCCCGAGTTCAGACCCCGGCCCTCTGGACCACCCTGATGGGGTCCGAAGCAGATTGGCAGTATCAATCCACGCCTCAGGTATGTTTTCTTTGTCTCACGTGCCAAGCACGAATGCTGATTTCGATCATCAGCCTGCTCTCGGGAATCGAGTCATCAAAGAGCCTCAGGGCAAGCTGCTTGGAGGCTCATCCGGGATCAACGGTCAGGCCTTTATCGCGCCCACCAAGGCGGGAATCGATGGCTGGGAGAAACTGGGTGCAACAGGCTGGGACTGGGCGACTCTCTCCCCGTACTACCGCAAGGCCTTCACTCTGCAGCTGCCAGACGAAAACACCCGCGACCATATCGGCACCAGCTGGGTTGACCCCGAGGCCAATGGAACGTCGGGCCCGATCAAGGTCTCCTTCCCAGCCGTACGACAAGACCCGCTGTCCAAGGCGTGGGTGGACACGTTTCGAGCAATGGGCTACGGCGTCACCGGCGATCCCTTCTCGGGGGTCTCCACCGGGGGTTACTCCAACCTGGCCGCTGTCGACGCCGAAACCAAGACCCGCAGTTATGCAGCCACGGGCTATGGCGTGCCCGCCAGCCAGCGTCCGAGCGTGCGCATCCTCACCAACGCGGTCGCCCGTCGCATTCGTCTTGAGTCTGAGGAGTCGGGGGTTACCGCCACGGGAGTGGACGCAGACATTGAAGGACAAGCTACAGTCGTCAAGGCGAAAAAGGAGGTGATTCTGACTGCCGGGGCCCTCAATACTCCAAGACTGCTCGAACTGTCCGGCATCGGAGACCAAGCCATTCTCGACAAGTTCAGCATTCCGGTCGTGATCGACAACCCCAACGTCGGCGAGAGTCTCCAGGACCATCTCATGAGTGGGATCAGCTTCGAGGTGAAGCCGGGGGTGGTCACCGGTGATCCGCTTCTGCGGCAGGAGCCCGACGCGATCCAGACTGCATTGCAACTGTATGCCGAACACAAAGCCGGGCCCATGACCGTGGGCGGCGTGCAATCCTGCGCCTACATGCCTATCATCGAGTCTCATGGCCACCAGGAAGCGAAGCGGGCGCATCTCGAGGCCTTCCCCGGTGACCCCGATGCTCGCCACGAAGTGATCCGAGACATCTACGGGTGATTGGATGCGCCTACCTGCTCGATGTTCATGTTCCTGGCGCAGGCCAACCTCCACCAGGACGGCAGGAGCTTCGTCGGCCAGGAGCTTCTGCCGGGCAACTACCTCAGCCTGGGCGTCTCCCAGAGTCTGCCCTTCTCCCGTGGAGCGGTGCATATCGCCTCGGCGGACCCGGACGCGCCCCCGACCATCGATCCTCGTTATTTCTCGAACCCGCTCGATCTGGACATCATGGTCCGGAACCTGCTGGACGTGGAGCGCCTCCACGGTCTGAGGCCGCTCGCGGATTATCTGGCTGCCGATCGCCGCCGCAATCACCCGGACGCCTCTCTCACGGACCTCGACTCCGCCAAGAGATACCTCCGTGACACGGCCACAACCACCTATCATTCATGTGGCACCGTGGCCATGCTTCCCCGGGAGAAAGGAGGCGTGGTGGACGAGCGCCTGCGGGTGTACGGAACCACCAACCTGCGTGTCTGCGATGCGAGTATCTTTCCTTTGATCCCGGCGGCAAATATCATGTCTACCGTGTACGCGGTGGCGGAGAGGGCGGCGAATATCATCAGAGCGGAGGCGTAGAGCTGATCCTGACTATACCTGCCTTTCACCCTTAGCTGGCTCATATACTCTCGCGTTCACCTGTCGAGCAGCGGTCTGTAGTCAGGGGGTATGAAAACAAGTCCAGATGCCTTCAACCATAGCACACAGAGTGGGTAGCCCAAAAGTTGAAGACGATTTGAAAGACCAGTCCACAGCTGCGCCTGGCCAGCTGGAGCTGTTATGCCTCAGACGTTGACGATGGACCACTCTCCATTGTGCTGATACAACTGGCCGTTCTACAATCCTTCTCTCGTTTGAGGATTTGAATTGGATTGCATATTGCATAGTAGTATATTCCGTCCGTGTGCCTGAGGTTATGTTCGGAGCGTGTATCTAGCTCGCGGGACTGGTTATTTCCTGGTGCAGGGGAACAGACTACTGTCCGTGGCGACGGTGGGTGTACTCCATAGTGAAAGAGTGGGGCTCGACTCTTGTGTCACCTGTCATCTGCTCTGGTCTCTGTCGGGATTTCTTGTAGGATAGAAGCAAGGTGGTGAATGAACACGAGAGGAAAAGCGAGTGATCCGAAATGTATATATATTCCCCTCCCGCTCTCCAAACTTATCTGGTGATCTACTCCGTAGAACTGCGGCAAAACAACCAGCATAAAACTTCCCAAGAACGCGGAATGGAGTACTAGCCAGACCACAGCAATTAAATCAATACAGATACATTATTAAAATAAAACACCTAATCTTTCAGAGCGAGAACCCCACAGAAAGGGAGGGGGCACACCAAAAGCGAAAAAAAGAAGTGGCCCGAACCGCGATTCGAACGCGGGGCCTCTCGCATTTAAGCTGTAAACCCAAAGCGAGAATCATACCACTAGACCATCCGGGCGCTTATATTATATCTGCCCTTAGTCTGTAAATATGACCCCATAAAACTTGCGAGGCCTGTTGATCACATCACGCACTGTACATACTCACCCCGGGATTGCATGGGGTTAATGGAGGCATACATACCATTCTCAGCCAGTACATAAACCCAGACCAGCCATGGCCTATGGCACAGCCCACTCGAGCGGCAACAGCTTCGATGAATGGTCGTCGGTGCCTGATATGCTTTGCTGCCTCCGGGGTGATGCTTCTTAGGGCTGCGACACTGTCGACCAAGATCTCATCTGTCCATCGTTCCCACCTGCGCCGATTCTTCCTGCAGTTGCGCTCGTACTAAAGCAACTGACGATGGAACATCGGCCGCTATCCCAGAGATTTCCATGGAACCTAAATCCATTTCGCGCAGTACAGTACTTACACCCAAACCTCCCATTACACTGCAAAAAAAACAAGTCTACACCAAAATCCATTCATCCACAGAAGCATAAACATCAAAGACATATATTCATCGACCAGACCATATGTTCACCACCCCCTATGTACAGTACTATATACAGTACCATATTCACGCCCACATAGATCACGACCCAGACCACCACCAAGCATCACCCACATCCACAACCCCAATCAAACAATCTAAGCCTGCGCGGCGAACCCGATTCTCGGACCCTGCGAGTCAAAGACCACGTACTGGCTCTTGAGGAAGACATCACCCAGGATGGATAGACCGAGGCCCTCGTTGGACTGGATGCCGCCGTAGCAGGTGGAGCTGCCGGTGGAGATGGGGGCGTAGTTGATGTACTTGCCGGGGACGACGGCGGTGTAGGAGCCGATCTTGACGCTGAAGTTGGGCAGGCTGGCGGAGCAGGAGAAGACGTAGCCACCGTAGTTGTAGCTGTAGGAGGCGCCGCTGACGCTCTTGTAGTAGGTGGAGACGATGGAGTCGTCGAGGAGGATGAGGGTGGTGCCGGTGTCTGCGTCTATTAGTAGGGGGTTCTGAGGGGGGAGGGGGCAGACAGGCAGGCAACGTACCAGCAATGGCGGAGAAAGAGGAGGAGTGGGAGGCCGAGCCCACGCTGTAGCCGCTGGCGGTAAATTGCCAGAAGCCCTGGGAGTCGTCGACGTTGGCGTAGGTCAGGGAGCCGGTGTACTTGGAGGAGTCGATGAACCCGAAATCGTAGGTACCGGCGGCGTGGTACTTCAGATCGACGGCGAAGAGGGGGCTGTCCAGGCTGGACTTGACGGTGTCGAAGAAGGTGGTCTGGGCCCGGGGGGAGACTGCACCGCTGGATCAGTACACCTGATAAACTAAAAAATAAGGAGAGACGGGGGCGTACCCGTGTTGATCGAGCTGAAGGCCAGACCCAACAGACCGTCGGTGTCGGTGTCCTGGACGAACTCGGAGCTGATGCGGCTGGCGGCCTCGACGGCCTGGCTGCTGGCCGTCACCGTGCCGACGGTGACCTTGTCCTTGTAGACGTCGCCGCTGGCGGAGCTGCCGTCGCCGTAGGAGATGCTCCAGCTGTAGCCGGACAGCTTCTGGGCGGTGCTGCCGGGGGTGTAGATGCTGTGGCCGGTGCGCGAGGAGGCGGCCAGCTCCGAGGAGAAGACCCAGAGATCGGCGGATCCGGTGTCGAAGTCCAGGTTCAAGGTCGAGCTGCCCACGGTGACGGGGGTCAGGTAGGAGACGTCGTTGGCCTGCGGGGTGGTCACGACGCTGCCACTGACGGCGGCGGCCTTGACGCTGGCCGGCACCTGGGCGCCGTACTTGGCCAGCGCATTCGCATACAGACCCGGCAGGTTGACGGTACGTCCCTTGCTGCCCTCCTTCTCGACCTGCTTGACGGAGAAGTTCTTGACCGGGACAGAAGCCTGCGTCTCGGCCAGGGGCGCCGCAGTAGCGGCGGTGGTCAGACCCAGAAGAAGGGCTGCAGCCTTGTTGAGGACGACCATGATGAGGAGGAGGAGGAGGAGGAGGAAAAGGAGGAGATGTTCAAGCAGATATCACGAGGAGGAAGAGAAGGAGAAGGACCTGCTGCTGCTGTTGCTGCTGCTGCTGGATGAAGAAGAGAATCCCAATCGAAGCGGGGTTCAGAGTGCTCTTTATACCTTCTGCAGCCGTGCTGTACATCTCAGTCCTTACACTCTGCATACACACTCTGCATACATCGCTCATCCAAGCACGAGCATAGACCCACCATGCTCTATCTCCTCGAGTGTATACTACTGTCAAGGGTAATATCGAAATGTCTCAGTCCCCTCAATCACGCCAACGGAGGCCGGAGCACTACCAATCCATCAGGAAGCAAAGACCGACGATCATCGCCGCTAATCTAGTGGGGGGAGTTGTCCAATGGCCAGCCTTATCCGCATGAGGTTATTCCCCCTGCCCCGATTCCGCCAAGCACGAGACTATATGGCTAGTGACCACTCACCGTCGAGCATCAGACTGCCCGTGCCTGGCAATCCTTCGCGAGTAGCTTGATTGGAGATAAGAGATTCTGCAGTCCTCACAAGAGTACCAAGAAGACCAAGAAATTGCTTGCTCCAATCCTCACGCTCCAACTCATCGCCCCCCTCCCGTCTTCTTCAGCGAATATACTTTTAGGTGAAGTGTATGTAGCTACTCCGTAGAGTAGTGGGAGAGAGACGGACGTTCGAACGGACTCCGGAACACTCAGGGATCTTTCTCCCTTCCCCTCTAATATCTGGTACTGTACCTGAACTAGACTGTCTCCAAACAATCAGAACCCCTATTGAACGAACCATTACTTCATTCCATCAAGAGAAGATAGTATAGCCCATTGTGCCTCAAACCCCAATCATCTCCTAGGGATCCAGCAACAATCTGACCTCCGTTAATACAGAGTACAGCACAGCCCTAAGTAAACCCTAAGAAGCCCTATCTAGTTATAGACGGGAGCAACCAAGCCAAGCCTACCCCAAGACCCTGAGCCTACAACATCACAATGATCTGAGCCATCGACATCAACAGAGTAAACTAAACCAAACTAAAAATGCCCAGACCTAAACCTCCGACGGTGCTCCTGTCCTGTCCACCTCCAAGTGGGTAACCATAATATATGCAATGCAACATAACCAACCCATGCAAGTTGCAACGGGAAGTTCGACCTCGGCCTCGGCAGCCTCCGTCCGGTCTTCACCTACAGTACGGAGTACTACCCCTCACACTTGACTTCAACGGCCAATGGGTCAATCCTCAAGGTCGACCACCTGCAACCCAACCCAATCCCCCAATTCCAGGATCATCATTCGCCAAATCTGACCCCCACCCGATCTGCACAAATCAAAATCCTGCAGGGTCTGGTGCTCTGTTGATATGCTTCCTGCAGGGTCGAAAGGGTCGAGGGGGGAAATTACAAGGCTGCGGGCTGCAGCAAATGAATGTGACTCGAGACCCTGATTCCCCTGCCTACCTGTTCCCAGTCCCAGTCCCACCAGTCCCAGTCCCCCTTCCCTTTTTCCCCATCGAAAGGCTCGAGCCTCGAAGACCACCGGGACTCCGGATTTAGAATCACTGATAAGGATAGGGGAGCTGAATAACTTACCTAGTACCCGCTTACTCCTTCGTACCGTAGGACGGCGCCCCCCCCCCCCCCCCCCCCCCCCGGTCCGGCCCCGGCACATCGCTACTTTCGCTACGAACCAATTACACCGCGGAGATGGGCGGTTTTCGCCAAGTTGTCAGGAGTCAGCAGTAAGTTAGCTACCTGTCTGTGGTGAGTGAACCAGAATACCACGATGAATTATTGGACCCTGGGATTTTAGATTAACTTGACTTGGCTTGGCTAAGGCACTGTTAAACAATTACCCCCCCCCTTAGTTGAACCCCCACTACACCAGACCCCGACACCACAGGGACTAGACTACGCGCAATAAACTAAGTGATCGTGAGGATCAGGAGATAGACTATCGGCACTGATAAACCCACTGATAACCTCATACCGACTAGAAATGATAACAATGGGTGAGGTAACCGGGCCCCGAAATGACGCATCTGAGACCTGCAGCGGCGGCAGCAGCAGCAGCAGCAGTAGATTGTGTAGTACAATACAACTACAGACCTAGCTAATCGAGATACACACAACACCCAAAAAAAACTATGATATCGTAATTCGTACAGTCATACCACTCCCTCTGCGTCCCCTTATCTCCTAATTACAAATCCTCCCCAAAATACTCCGGATCTCACGATGACAAAAACTGCGAGGGCAGGTTGGCAGCAGCGGCAGCATCATTCCCCTCCGCGCCAACGCCAACACCAACACCATCATACTGTTCATTAAGCAGGACCTCCAACATGTCGAATTCCCCCACCATCGGGCCCGTGCCGCCCAGCCCCTGGTCCACTACCGCGGTGGAACTGTTGAAGAACTGATCCAGCGGGAGCGCGAACCAGTCCGGGAGTCCGCCGGAGGTGCTGGGGTTGTTGTCCGGCATCGACTGCGACGCGGTGACGTTGCTGTGGTGGTTGTTGTTGGTCGTCGTCGTCGAGGCGGACGCCGCCGCCGCACCGCCGCCCCCTTCCATCTCCCCTGCAGGCGGGGTCGCGCTAGGGTCGTAGTAGTTGTGGTACATGGACGGCGGAGGGGGCATGAACGAGACGTTGATGTGCGACGAGTTGATCGACTGCGCGGGAATCGCCGCCAGGGGGTCATGCACCGAGGAGCTCATGCTGGTCGTCCCCGTCTGGCTCGTCCCGTCGACATACCCCAGGTTCTGGTTCTGCGTCGGCGTGGTCTGCTGCGCCGGCGTCCAGGTGTGGCTGGACCCCTCGCGACGGCCCGGGGCTCCGTCGCGCGGCCGCGGCGACTGGTGTCGTGACACCGGCGCCGACGGGCGCTCCTGCTCCCCGTCCCCACCGCGGTCCAGCGGGGCGAACCGGAGGAAGCGCGTGCGGATGCTGGTCGTCAACAGCTCCAACAGTCGCGCAATGGCATGATTGAGGTGCACATCGTCAACCACGCAGGTCCGCAGGGCCTCAATGGTGCGGTCCTGGAGGTCCAGGGACACACGCACATCATCCTCCTTGGCACCCAGAGTGAAAGTCTAGGTATGCAAATGTCAGCGCGGATTCCGTCGGCGGACAGACGCACACTATACATACCTTGAGAATGAAGATCATCCCCGACAGAATGCGGAAACACGTCCGCACCGGCGCATGCTTGAGATGGTCCCCAGGAACAAGCACCTCCAGCACCGTCTGCAGAATCTTGCGCGATGCATCGACCACCTCCTGGATGTAAGGCTCGTTGACCCGATACAACTCCATGAGCACGTGAAACCCAACTCCGCTCGCCGACGGGCCCGCATTCGGTCTTGACATCTGGCTCTGGGCCGCTTCGTTTGACATCGTCGTCCACCGATCCACCACCGCCTGAAGCGCCAGGGAGTTGACGTAGAGCCCTGGGCCGTCAGCCACACTACCTTACAACACAGCACAGGACAACTCACGGGTATACTCATATTCAATCATCAGGATGTTCCTCATAGGGGGCGCCACTGGTCCGGTTAGCATCTTGAATGGAAATCCTAGGAAATCACTCACAATCAATGGTATCGATGTTATGTCGCCATTCCCTCAAGAAAGGCTGGAACCGATCGATCTGATCCCGGTACCGTCCACTCCGGATAAGCTCCGAGGTCTGCTCGTTCGATGCGAAAAGCAGCTGATTGCTTTGGTACATGATCTTGGAGATTCCAATCCAGCAGTCATGCATGCGGTCGACGATGGTATCACTGCCCTTCGCGCCCGTCACGGGAGTCGGTTGGATGTCACTGGTCCACTGCGGAAGGGGCAGCATGGACGGGATTCCCAAGCGGCCACTGCTCTGCGTGATGTAGACGAGGATCAGACGGCGTAGTCGGCGTTTGCGAGTCTGCTCGGACACAGATTCGACGGCAGCTTTGGCGTCGTTCTTCTGATCGAAGACTCCGAGCTCGAAGGCCAGCGCCTGCGCCGTACTCAGCAGCATCCAAGCCATGCGATCCGACCGCCAGGCGGGTTCGAGCCATTTCTGGAAGGCGAGCCGACCCTCCGCGGCGTTGTTGGGGGCACGATTCGCCGTGTTCTCCGCATCAGTTTCCAGCTCTCGCTCGTATCGACTCTGCGTGTGAGCATCCAGATCCAGGAGAGCGTTCTCGTCGTCACCTGGAGGGAAATGGAGATTTCGAGGATGCCAGTCGGTCAGGACAAGCAGCGCTTCGATAGTACCGAGCGACCGCAGATTGCCCTTGTGATTCACCTTGGCAGACGTAGGCGCAAGGTCGAACGACCGCGGCCGGCTGATCCCCATGCCGTTGTTATCAAACTTCTCCTGGCCCCAGAAGAGACGCTCGATCATACCGCGGAGATACGACCAAAGCCGATCGTGGATGTAGAACGCCCGTGTATAAGCCCCATCGCCTTTCGGCTTCATATGCCGCGACGCGGTTGTCAAGATCGCCACCGCCAGGACAGGCTCATCCGTAAGCAGACTCCGATGCGTCGACGGGTGAGAGAAGTCCGGGATAACGATGGGACTCAAGGGAGCCAGGTGTTCGTAGTAGCTGCCATATCCATCAGTACGAGGGAGATTTGTCCACCAAAGCAACCGAAATACATACTATGCAACATAAGCCATAGCCTCTTCCACCGACAGCCAACCGGCACGAACGAACCGCAATCGCGACCATGCCCGGACCGCATCCACGAAGCCCGGGTCTGGCGTATTCTCCGTCGCGTCCGCCTGCCCACGACCATCCGGATGCTGGGCGCCATCCATCGCCCCGGCGCCACCCGCCTGATAGTAACCACCCCCGACGGGGACGGTGCCGGACCGCTGGGGTCTCGACAACGACCCGCCTGCACTGCGCGGGGTGCCCGCCTGGGTGAGCGGGGACATGGGGGAGTTGAACGACGAGACCGACTGGCGCGCTCCGTAACGATTCTCCAGACTCTGGCGATTGAGGTCTTCTGTGCGCCCGGCGGCTTCGGACAGGAGGTGCAAGGCGTCGTGACTGTTGCTGATGGCGGGCGACAGCAGCTCGACGGCGGTGCGGTTCATCATGGGCTGGCCGCCCTCGAGGCTGAAACTGGGCGCATGGCTCCTCTCCGCGGCCGAGAAAACCGACAGACGGTTACTCCGCGCATCGGCGAAATGTGCTGCGGGCGTGGACTGGGGGTTATTGGTAGTGGTGGAGGTAGAGGGGGTGGTGGTAGTGGTGTAACGCTGGTGATGGCTGCCGACAGTTGGTGGTGGTAAATGAGCAGCGGCAGGTGAACTTTCCGACCACTTGAGTCGCGGATGGCCGAGGGTGTGGTTGTTGTTGGTGTCTAGCGTAGAAGGTGCCGCAGCAGCAGTCGAAGAGGACGCATGCTCCAGTGAGGGTATATACGGTGATGCATCGCTGTTGTTAGAGCCGTGGCTGGAGATGACCTCTCCGACCATCATCCGCTTATCGCGACGAAGGGCCGCATCCTCCGTCTCGTCCGCATCCGAGGGCTTGCGTTTGCGCCTCGTCGCGGAGAACTCGCAACGCTTGCTTTCGCGGCGACATCGCACACAAGGAGGAGGACGAGGATTATCCACACCTGAGGAGATAATAGAATCAGAAATTAGTCTTTCTCCATTGAAGTAGGATTTCGTGACCGCATAATTATAGCCAGAAAGTCCGGGGAACACAAATGAAAGGTAAGGAAAAAAAATTAGAGGGGACAGGGGATCTCTCTTACTGCCAAGGTCGCACTTCACCTTGCGCTTTCGGCACGGGTCGCAGGCCTGGTATCCACGACGATGCTGGGACGACTGGGACTGGGCCTGGGACTGGGGCGATGGAGACTTCTGACTCTCGTCTTGCCCGTTGTGCGAATAGAGAGGCTCCTGAGGGCCGGTATTCGCAGGTGCTGCCATGATGAGTCTCCTATGTCGGAGGACGGACAGTGACCGAGAAGGGGTGAGGGGGGAAAATGCCGATGCAAAGCGAGAAAAAGCGGTGGGGGACACAATAATATTAAGGCAAGACGCAAGACGGGGGGGAGACAGAGAGTAAGGCCGGGAACAGCAACAAGCAATAGAAAGAACCAGCAGCAGCAGCAGCAGCAGCAGCAGCAGCAGCACAACCGTTTGTTGTGGTCTTTCCTTTGCTTTTCCCTTATCTCTCTCTCTTTAGTCCGGCAGTGCTCTCTATTCTTCACAACAACCCAACCCACACACACACCCACTCACTCACTTTCCCTCGGAAAGTTTACCTTAGTCTCCCTCCAGAGACCGCGAAAGAAAGGAAAAGAAGCAAGTGGAGATGCAACCAACCTTCTCTCAAAATGCGGAGAGTGTTTGTGTGAGAGAGAGAGAGAGAGAATGGAGAAAAAAAAAGAAAATCAAGTTTCAACAATTGAACAACACACTAATTCTCCTTTCTACCAAGAATAGTAGCCACATTCATTACATTGACTTATGCCTTTCAAGATGCACCACTACCACCACAACCACTTAATCACAACTCCTTGAACCAACACCACCCGGACAGTTCTTCCGTCAGCTCAGAAATGCGGGGTAAAAACAAATCGCCAGCCTCTGACTGAATGCTGGCTTATATCTGTTATCAATCGTAATCCCAATAAACTCCGGGCTATTCCTCGTCAGAATCACGGGATCCAGTCCAGAATTCCCCCGATCAGGAAAACCAGCGGTGACGACCAAGGTATACGTATACTTTCACGGCTGCATCGCATGTCAATTGTCTTCCATATCCTACAGATACAGTGGGGACCCATAACGTCCAAACGGATAAAATATATACAATAGACTAAGCAACCAACCCATCACAAATAAAGCTGGGAGGTGAGAAAGCAACAACTGACCTCAGCTGTGCAATGGCTGGCTGCGATAAGGCGGATCAAGGGAACGAACACCCCCGGTCACAGTCACGCTAATCCAACTAATGCAGCAACTCTCCAATGGAATTCATCCGATAGAAGAAAAACCAAAAGAAAAAAGAGAAGAGAAAAGACGAAACAAAATCATGTCTTACGCCAACAAAGTAGAAATATTAGATAATATGCGCCGCCCACCACCCCCAGAGTTATGAAAAGGACCAAGCATTCACTCCAGAGTCAATGCTGGCGGGCCACTTGCGCTCTGCTCAGGCGACCGAAGAAGCAGCCGTGTCGGGGAAGCTAGGGATGGCCGTCGTCGCCGGTTTGGTCCTATCAATCACCAGACCCCCGTTCATCTTGGGAGCGGGACTCATCACCGCCTTGCGAGATACGACCGACTCGCGTGTCGCCACACTCTCTTCGCTGCCGCGTCGAGACATGCTGGGAGTCAATCGTCCCGGGAGAAGCCCACGGATGCCTCCCGCCTTGCGGGCCGGAATCTCCGACGTGCCGGCCGTGAGCACGTAGAGCAGATATTTGAGATTCGGAAGGGTATGTCGGATATCCAGGACGCGTAGGCCCTGTACATTCAGCAAGAACTCGATGTCCTTGTTCAGCAGAAACACGCCGTACTCGAATCGGTACTGCACGCTGGCCGGGTGTAGGGGGAAGGTCCTCTGGGGCAGCGATGCAGACACCGGGTCCTGGATGAACGAGCGCGACAGATACGGGTTGATCGCGTATGGGATCGGGGTCGAGAGATAGAAGGATAGAAGGTAGACCAGGTGGGCGGTATATCCAAGGGCCGCCGCCACCTCGTCGCGGTCGACGTCGGTAAAATCCGAGTTGGGTAAAGCCAAACCCGCGATGGTGAAGGCAAGTGGCTTGTTGGGAATGGGCTCGATCGGGTAGACCGTCAGCAAGTCCTCCGAGATACGCCGGATCTGACCCTTCGAGTCCTCAGTGTTCTTATCCAGTAGCCTGGCACTTGAGCCCAGTTTCGATTGCGCATCGGGAAGGTGGCTCCTGGCCCTGGCCTGGACATCACGCCCATGCTCCATGGCCTCTCTTCTGGTCTTGATGCTATTAACCAATTCATCCCTACGCCTTGCAGCACTGTGGAGATGCCGGCGCTCGGTAGCAATGGCATGCTTGGTAACTGCGAGTTTATTCCGAGCCTGCGAGAGATTCCCGGCGGCGGCCACCCCGCGTTGTTCCCTCTCGAGGATCGAGTTGATCTGCGCCTCAATCCGGTCCCTGGTTGTGAGCGCATCTTGGATGCACTCATCCAGATTGGCCAGTTTCATGAGCGCCTCGTACGACGAGGTCGACATCGCCACGCCATCTGCCGTTTTGGAGTAGTGTACGGGCACAGCAGCCAGGACCGGTGGGAGATCGGTCAAATTCGTGTACACACCGTCGGCAAAGTGGAAGAGAATGGAGTTCGCCGGCAGCGGCTGATGGAAGCTATCCAGCGACTTCCCCAGGAACTGGAGTGACTGCAAGCATAAACGCAGTTCCACCAGCAGCACAAAGTCCGCCATTGCTCGGGTCTTGGCCCAGAGCTTGACAGTCAGATGATCCCGTCGTGACACTGAGGGGCCGCACATGTTGAGATCGAAAGTCCGGAAGCTAGGGTTCGTAGCATGCTCGACCGGTTCGCTCACGTAGACCGGCTCCTCGACGCCGTCGCAGTGGAGGGAGAACCAGGTATCGGCCATGCGACTGCTTGTAATCTCTTCCAGCTTCGTCTGTCTCGCGCGAGGATTGGGAGCATTCCACGGCATGGTGTTCCTCCGATGCCATTGTCGCAATGGGGGGCCTGCTGGTGATGGTGGTGGTGTTGCTGCTGCCTGCTTATGATTCCCGGAACGATGGTTGGTGGTTGCCGACCACTTCAGATCGGTAAAGGAGCGCGACGGGTGCAGGGAATGATTGACATCGGCGATCGGGACTTTGGAAGGCGACTGCAATGAATTGGGTACATCTTCGTCATCGATGGGTTTCCCGCGAGGTTTGGTCGGCGGTGGTGTGACGACGAGGTTGCGGACGGAGATGCTCTGGAGATGTCGCAGCTTGCGATTCTAGACAGACGGTAATCAGTTGTCTGGCCCGAGGATATACACAATCAACATGACACGGCCAGAAGGTACCAGAGGGAAATGCCAAGGTCTTTCACGGCGACCGCCTGCATTGTCATCGGCCATCGCGGGCAAGTCAAAGAGAAAGCAAGGCAAGCTTAGCTGTCGCACTGCGAAGGCGGTATTGGCCCGATCATCCTAGACAAGGACGGAGTAGGGGAAGCAAGAAGAATCAGATGAAATGACGACAATTGGAATTGGGTATCTAGCAAAGCAAAACCAACTAGCTTCTTAGAGCGACAGTCAACAGAGAGAAAAAGAGAAGCAGAGAAGGAGTCAAAGAATTAAGTATCGCAAACGACGTAATGTGTTGAGGTGGGGGGAAGTAAGTGTAAGTTAGGTAGAGTAGGGAAGATGATCGCACGCCGCAGCGATTGATGCAAGCAGCAGTTGGAGGGAGTGCAGCAAAGCAAACACAAGTACAAGTAAGCTAGGCTGGCTCGTCCGTCAGTTGGTGGTCCTGGTCCTGGTCCGCCGCCCAGAAGAAAAGGCGGGCGGAATCGACCGCCCCGTTCGGGGAAACCGTCGAAAAATTGATCCGCCTTTCCTGGCCGATCTCCAAACTTGCAACTTGCCTATTCGACTTTCCCGGGTGTGAGAAGAGCCTCACCCACTTCCACCTCTACACCCATTCCACCCAATTCCTCCTCTATCGGATCCCGGGAATATCTGATAGAGTGAAGAGAGACCACAACCACAACCCTACCGATCCATCTACCTCCCCCCCCCCCCGAACCGGAGCAACACCGACCCGGAGCACCAGAAAAGCAACAAAGTCAACCCAACCCAACACACACACCCACCGCGCAAACCCCGGCCGCAATGGCCACCCCAGCAACTCAAGCCGCCGTCCCCAAGCGCGGCACGATGAAGAAGATCCTGCAACCGATCCAGAAGATCCTGGACCCGACCAAGATGGGCACATGGAACGTGGTGCGTCGGCCCCCGATCGACGAGCACACCGTCATCCAGGGACGGCGCCGCGACCGGGAATCGAATGCCTTCAAGACACACCAGGTGTTAGAGGGGACGCGGTTACGCAAGGCCCTGAACTCCCTGACCCACGGCAAGAACATCTTCGTCTATCACAACATGCGGACCAATCAGGTGGTGTACTCGTTGACGAGATATTTGGATGTGAGCACAACTCCCGAACACACAACTTTCCCGAAGCATCAAACATGAAAGAAGAAGAAGGAAAAAAAAAAAAAAAGAGAGAGACAACAAGAATTATTTCCCCTCTTCTTCAGAATAGCATACACTGACACACTCTCTTCTCTGTTACCTCTATATTAGAAAAACAGTGTCCTCCGCCAATTGGTCTACCACGGCAAGAAGACGGTGCCGGCGACCCTGCGCAAAGACATGTGGGTCCCCTACTACAGCGTGCACTTCACGAGCGCGCAGCTCGGCCTGCGGGCCTACCACCTGCTGCGCGAGTTCGCGATGCAGCGGCAGCTGGCCCCGCCGCGCGAGATGGTCACCATCACGGAGGAGTGGCTGGCGCAGAAGCGGCCGCGCGACCCGCACAAGGCCGAGGAGTTCGACAAGGAGTGGGCCGACAAGAAGGGGTGGCTGATGAAGCCCAAGGACCGTGCCCGCGTCGTCATGAACCAGAAGGCCACCTCCGTCGCCGACGTCGCCGCCGTCCTCGACATCCAGGCCGAGGAGATCGCCAACGGCTTCGCCAGCGGCCAGCGCGGCTACCTCGGCAAGGCCGCTCGCCGCCGCCGCCGCCAGGCCCGCATCAAGGAGGCCGCCGTCGCCGCCCGCCAGGCCGCCCGCGTCGCCGACTTCGAGAAGGTCCTGAGCAAGCCCCAGATCGACTACAAGATCCAGGAGGTCGTCGAGGACGATCCCGCCACCGCCGCCCTGTTGCAGGCCGAGAACGGCGTCAAGATCCTCTGGACCGATCTCCACGATGCCCAGTTCGCCGCCCAGTGGCCCGACCGCGTCCGCCACGGCGAGTTGGATCTCACCCGCGACCATGTCATGCCCGGCCAGAAGCGCATCCACACCGGCGACATCGAGATCCTGGCCGACAACGCCTTCAAGGAGAAGGGCGTCGAGGCCGAGGCCGAGGCCGTCCCTGAGAAGAACTAAGCAGCTCGCGGGATGAATTTTCCTTTTATTTTGTACTTGATGGCTTTCCCAATGTGGGTGTGTGTGTCGATATACATACTTGCGAAATAACCGCCCTGTTCTTCTACATGATACAAAATGTATTTTTAGATTTTAGTTTTTTTCTCTCTCTCCCTGTTCGAGGGGATGATGCAATGGCGTTTAGCACACAAACACTCAATTGGAATTGGTTCAATATTTCATCCATCCCCAACGAATGAAAAGCTAAACGACGAGACGTCTGCGGAGGAGGCTTGATTCATCCATCTTCTGTTTCAGACCTGCGGATCAAATATACATCGATATGTAGCGTACAAGAGTACCAGCTGATATTTCAAGTTAAAGTCAAGTGGCACAGCTGGTCTGTCCTCGCTTTCTACGTTCACGGCGAAGCCAAGGGAGTCCAAGGCCCTAGATGTCAGATCAGACGGAAAGAAGCGGTTCGGAGCGAAGGTGGAAATCGCTCAAGGGATCCAGTGGAAGTAAAAAGGGGTGGAAAACGAAGGCAAAAAGCAGGCGGGTTTGGGGACGGGTTGTCGCGACTCCTTTCCCTGGCCCAGTGTGAGAAGAATAAAACAACAAAGTAGGAAGCCCGCGATCGACACCAGAGCCGCATGGCTAGAAAGAAGGAAAATCAAAAGTGGAAGAGGGGAGCAGAAGCGAAAAAAAACTCCTTTGTAGCGAGAAAACGGGCCGGGTTCAAGAGCCCAGTCCTTCTATCGACTTTAAGTAGAACAATACACAGCGTCGGAGTTCACTCCAGAGTACTTATGCAGTTGGGTTCCTGGGTTCAGGCACTTTCAACTTATCCGCAATCGCGGCACCGCTGTCTTCCTTCATGGGTGGTGCAGGCTCGGGCTGCTCATTCGCCATCTTCTCGAGGATTTCTTCCTGGACTTTCTCAGCCTTCTCCGGATTGTCTGTAATTCCCGCTCTGGCCATACTCTTTCGAGCTGACTCAACGATCTTGTCAGCCTCGCTGACACCGAGCTCAGTTTCCTGATCGCCTTCGACGCCGATGGGCTCAGCGGTGCGGTTGACCACATCCTTGACACGTTCCGTATCGAAGCGAATGACCATGCAAGAAAGATTGTCAGTGCTGAAACGTGCAAGCGCGTGATCAACCAAGATCTTAGACGCTTCTTGGGCATCGGGCACATTCCGAATGAGGTCGACAGCCTCCTGGTCACTGCACACATCCCAAAGCTAGAAATTACTCTATCAGCAACACTATAACGAATAGTCTGGTGAATGGAAGACTTACCCCATCGCAGGCCAAGATGATGAACTCGTCCGACTCTGGCTGGATAACAGTCTCTGTGGTGTACGGATGTCCAGTCACGAGATCCTTGAGGTACGCATCGCCCAAAGCTCTGGTCACAGCGAGAACACCATTGACGCGATTGTTCAGGATCAATCCTCCGGCGTTTGCTATCCGCTTTCCTTCGTTCTCGTCGCTGCCCTTGTGATCGTAAGACAGACGAAGTGCCTTGCCATTGCGACACAAAATAATGCGTGCATCACCAACGTTGGCAGTGTAGAGGACGCGCTGACGAGCCGCCTTCTCCTGTAGTTTGGGAAGTGCTCCAGAGACGGCAGCCTGGGTAGGAGTATCGCCCGCTTCATCGGAATCTGTATCGGCCTTGGCAGCGGCGGCGGCGGCGGATGCGAGGGCAGATGACCCCGTGGCAGAATGCGAGCTGGGCACTCGGTCTTCCCATCTCAACAGAGCAATAACAGCAGTACATCCACTGTTCTTCAAGGGCAGCTTTTCCAGCTGTTGATCAACGCTAGTAAATGTCTGATCGAGAAGCTCCGGAACGGGTGTGCTAGGATTTTTGCGCATTACATCTTCGAGGATCAGATGCAGCTTCTTTCCGCACCACTCAGCAGCAAATGTGCCTGCATGTCCGTCAAAGATGGCAAAGTATCCATTGTCGGTTTCAACCACGCTGGTTGATTTCTCGGATGTGGGAGAAGTGCCAGTAGGAATGGTTATCGCTTTCGTGCCTGTTTCACCCTGGGCTGAGAGTGCGGGAGTCCCCAGGAAGTTGTACAAATAGGCATGGGTATCTTCCATAGTCCGGCGACATTTTCGATTGCGGTCCTCGGTGACGCCGACTCTGAATGACGAGCGTGCAGTGGGATGCGATTCACCAGCCGAATTATTTAATGACCCTTGAGGAACGCTCAAGGCAGGGTCCATGCTCCCAAACTTTGCCAGGCCAGGCTGCTCTTGAATGGTATAGTTGAAGGAATTCTCACGTGGACTGCTTGACAGGCTGAAGGAGTTCTTGGCGCTGGTGAAGAATGAGGCAGCTTTCGTGACCGTGCTACTGCGGCGCTTCTTCTCACTGCCAGGGCCCTGATCCTCACTTGTCCTCCGTGTGAAGAAGCCACCTGGCGGAGAGAATTTCTTGGGGGTGACGCTGGAATCCTCGGTGCGAATGCTTAGAGGCGGCGTGTCAATAGCACCGGAGCGGGCAATTGTTGTGTCGGATCTATCTTTGGGTGGGCTCGAGGAGCCACTGAACATTCGGTTCAGCAACCCACCCTGGCTAGAAAAACTTCGGCGCTTACTTCCTGCCAGCTTGATTGTATTTCTGAAGATATTTGGGGAGGATGGGGGAAGGGGGGTTTAAAAAGAATGGGGTGGGGGGGGTTGTTGAGAGGGAGAAGAAGTGGCTTAGAAGGAAAGGGTGATTTGCGGAGGCGGCGGCGGCGGCGCGCGGGGAGGGGGGGGGGGGGGGGGGGGGGAAAGCAGAGGGCAAAGCCTTGGGTCCAAAGCCGGCGGAGACTGACGTAGGATGCGAGAGAGTTGAGTTGCGGCGGAAGCGAGGGAATAGAGCTGAGTAACCTGTAGACGTCAGTGCTTGGGATCAGTAAATAATCGACCCTATGTAGAAGCTCATGGATGACCACTAATCCCCAAAAACGATGGTTCTCAGCTAGCAATGCAGAATAAATGACTTTCGTGGTCCAACAACAACACCAGATGGAAGAGCATGTACAGTATGTGCTATGGGGGGGGAAAGAGTACGCCCGTTGGGCAAACATCATTACAACAGCTAATAGGAATGAAACACGGGGCTGGAAGAGGAGAGTCTCGGTGATTAAGACATGTCTGAAATTATACTGAGTAGTATATCCATTCCAGCGTCACGGGCTCATTTGTAGACCACCTCCACTGCGCGCTCCGGAGACTTGGGAGGGTGGGAGAGACAACACAACAAATTGGAATCTGATAGTGGAAAGTGGATCAAGAATTACTCACGAGGAACAACAGGTGATAAGAAAGCAATCCACAAGGATGGGATGGGGAAGAACTGGAGGTAAAGGAAAAGTAGTTAAGAAGAGGAAGAGGAAGAGAAGGAGTGGTGGTTGGAGGGGAGGATGTGGTGGTATGGTCGGAGTTAATATTGAGTAGTAAGGAAATAATTAGCTGGGCCGGGCAATCGGCAGTGGCAGTAATGAGTAGGTTACTACTAGTAGTAAAGTTGTAATGAGGCGGCGGGCGGCGGGATCGTAGGGGGTTTATTATTAGCAAGCAGTGCGCTACAAAGACTACTGGGTATAGTACAGTACTTAATGTGCTAGGTTGCTAGTCTGGCCTGCCCGTGCTGCATGGAGCCCAGTTCCTTCCTTCCTTCCTTTGCGTGCTTCTCTTCTATTTCCATTTCCATCACCACTAAAACCGATCGGGGGAAAGCGGGCAGGAGGGGGAGAGCACTAAATTGGGAAAGCGGTCAAGGGACATCGGGCAAAATAACGTGACCCTGGAATTGTGGAGACACGACGGCGATGACGACGACGAGCTTCGGTCTTGGCACCTGGCCATTTCGGCACTGAAAGTCCGCTTACATACGTAAGGTCAAGTAGTTTAAGAGACAGCAAAGACAACAGCATCATGGTGACACATGCTGGATAATTTAACTAACTACGCCACTCAACTGATGCTTACGTACAATTTCTCTAGTGACCTGACTAGGTATCTCCGCCCAATGCCCAATCGAGAAGTAGAGTTTGTATACAATCACTATCTTAGTTATAACTACTGAGTAACAACATCATGCCATAGTGGTTTTGTACAGACCATAATCAATGGTACTATGTAGAGCCCTAAACTTCAGGACATGCCAAATCTCAATCCCATGAGCTGAAATCTCCGAATCCCCCAGCGCCTCTCATCTTCTTCCGCACCGGTTCCGGCTCAGGCTCATCATCCACATACTCCACAATCTCGTCCTCCTCCTGGCCCGCCCGTTCGGCCAGCGCGGCCTTGAGGTATTTCCCTACACCGGCCGAGGCCTCCTCTGCAGAACCACCTCCGGCACCACGAACCCTTTTCCCTGTCCAGGTCACGCGATCGTCGTCCTCACGGCGTGCATTCTGTTCCTCCTCCGCCGGATCGGTGATGTGACCCTTGGCCTTAGCCTCCTCCGCCTGCTTCTGCTTCAGGAATTCCTCAAAGGGGTCCACGAAGATGGTCACATCGGTGATGCGGATGTCCGGGGTGGGTCGGTTGGTGGTGGAGTTGGTGGGGTGTGTCTCAAGTTTGTTCAAGGTCGGGGACGATGGGGTCGGGTCGTCGATGACATGACCGAAGATGGTGTGTTTGTTGTTCAGGTGAGGCAGGGCGCGATAGGCAATGAAACTGGTGGCGTGCAGGTCAGCGGTAAGGTTGGGGAAGTCGGTGACGCCGATGAGGTGCCTAAAATCACTTACAATTGACTGCTGTTCGTGTTCTTGCCCTTGTTGGCCATGCTGAGCGTGCCTCGAGAGTCGTGCTTCAGAGGCCCCTCGAACTCATCGTTGAAATACTTGCCCCAGATACTCTCGCCTCCGCGTCCAGTCCCGGATGGATCACCACCTTGGATCATGAAGCCCTTGATATTGCGATGGAAGGTGACATCCCTGTAGTAACCCTTCTTGGCGAGCTTGATGAAATTCCACACGGCTTTGGGTGCATATTCCGTGTGCAGTTCCAGGTTGATGTCCCCAGACGTAGTCGAGATGCGCGCATAGCCCTTGTGCTTGACGCGACCCCTCTTCAGCATGTATTCCTCGTCTGAAAGCAGTGCGAGGTCGGCGGACGTGTGCGGGGTCATCCCCGTGCTCGTGAACGAGGCAGCAGCCAACCCCGTCGTATGCCGTGCGGCATTATAGGGAGTTGCTTTCCCAGCAACCGGCTTCTTAGCCTGCGACAAGGCACCAACAGACCCAGGCCCAGCCCCAGTCTTGGACACGGACGCAGCAGCCGCACCAGCGACGCCCGCGCGCTGTGCCCTCTCCGAGCGGGCCTTGGCCACTGCTTCCCTTGCTTTCAGGATCTTGGCCGAACTGCCCAGAGCGTTGGCATTGACGTTGTTGGCGGGGTCCTCTCGTTCCCGGATCTGCTCCTCGGTCAACCCGCTCTCGCCTTCCTTGATGTAGTTGAACGAGCTGAGGTTCCGCGACTCGATGTTCTGCGGGTCCTGCAGCGTGATGATGTCCTTCCGGGTGAACTCTTCATCCGTAACCAAATCCTTCCACAGCTTGCCCTTTATATTCAGCCGCTCGACCGTATCCCACGCGAAGACATTCCCCGTCGGCCGCAGCGCGACGATGTGCGTGTTGTCGGTGAAAACCTTGTAGGTTACGGGATCGACGTATTCGCCGGCCTCGTTCTTGGCCAGGTTGAGCTTGATGAGATCGGAGTTCTTGAGGGGCGCCCCATTTACCGGGTTCGTGCCGTGCTTCTTGATCCAGGGGAGGATGTTGGTCAGGTCGAAAATTGTGCCCTCGTGGGTGCACACCGGATGCGCGTACGGTTGGAGGGAGAGCGAGCAGACGTTGAAGGGCAGGCGCTTGAAACTATTATCAACTCCTCCGCGTTTCGCGCGCGTGACGCCCGCTCCAGCGCTGGCGGAGAATGCATCCTCCGACGCCCATTCTGAATGCGTGATCTGTGGAAGACTTTTGGGTCAGCCCAACCGCAAATGCGATAAGAGATTAGGAACGCGCGAAAGCGCAGACTGGGATTGAGGTAGAGGGCGAAGACAGCGCACATATAATTTATCCGTTCCTATATTCTGTTAGCAAGCTCTAGAAGGATTGGGTTTCCAGGGATGGAGTCAAATGAGGCTTACCTTTACCCATCGTTGCGACAAAAGCTCCCAAGAATTTGTGACAGCGCCAGCTCTCCTCCGCGGGTTTGGTTTGTCGCCGCTCTCCAAGAGATGATGTATTCGGGTGGCCGAGCCTAACCTATTTGGGTTAGATTCTATTGTGAAATCTATACCGTACAGCAATTGTTTACTTTTCTTGCTCTGTACTCCGTACTTACTCTGGTGTATATAAATGCCCGTTGGTGGTGCTCAAGGACACAGCAAGCATCAAATCGTACATTGCACATATCGATAGGATGATTTGTCTGTAATGATAAGCAGAAAATTGCGATGTACCACACAGAACCACTTCCCCCTCTTGTTCCCTCTCACAAAACTTAGACATGCAAAGATAAATCGTAGAAAAGTCCACACTTTCTCCATACTTCCCTGGCTTCATCGCTCAAATAAGATCCGGTAGCGCCACAAAAAGCCTCTCTATATCACTCTTTAAATTCCTTGACACGAAGTAACCCATGCATTTCCACATGCACCTCCGCGAGAATAGCTCCTTCCACCAACAGTCAAAGGATATCTCATCGACCACCCGCAGATGCGATGATTATTTCGCCTGTCATGATTGTCTTGGCCTTCGACTCCAAGCTCTATGAGGTGAGACTGGGCGCACAGCTGGTCGTTGCGGTGGTATCCGGCGGATGTCAACGTTATGTGAATTGCACAAAGCAGACTAATCGCTATAGACAGCCCCTTCCACTCCGGAACCAGTTGATTGCGCTTCGAAATTGAGAGTTGGACGGGTACGTCGACTGATCAATGATTCAGCCATGACTATTCACCATGTGAGCGCATATCGGCAAGTATGCAACAGGATGCGCGGTTGAGCTATCGGTCTGATACTCGACGGGGATGACAAGCATGGCAAGATCTGGAGTTAGGTAGCATTGAACATAAAGAAATGTTCTGGGGGCAAGCTAGGCGCCCGCCTCGTGAGATGGCGGAGACATAACGCGGCACTAGTGCAAGGGCTTACATACATAGATTGAGGTTCTTGTGTATAGCAAGCTGGGAGCAGATTTGGTGGTCTGGCCTTAAATCAAAAGCGTGGAGTGAGCACGCAGGTGCGTGTGTCGAACGAGCCCCGAGTGATCCTGAATGGCGATGAGGCGGTGATGATTCACTCCAAGGCAACAGTGCTTAGTTGTATCAGGCAGCAGCAGTCCAAGCCACGCCCCCGACATCGTCATGAAGGATAGACCGATATGGTAACGAGCCCGTCAATAGGTATAAGGTAGTGAGACAGTCTCCCTGGATTAGGCTCCCGCTGGCAAAGGCTGCATTGGAACAGCCACCAGGCTCTTGGAATAGAAAAGTCGGTGTCTCCAGGCATCATAGGCCAGATTCTCAGGCATACTATTTCAGGATCGACCTACAGATTAGTTAGAGATGCCCCAGAGATAGAGCAGACCAAGTATGGGTTTATCGAGGTGGTATGTAGACGAAGATGATGGACCCTCGGGTCGCCTGACAAACGCGATACTCGTTTGGGAAGGAATATCGGCTCACCTACTGCACTGGCAACCAGCACTAAGTTACCTACACCCATCCATGATAGTACCAGCAACATCCATTTTGGTGGACAAGTTCATCCACTAGTCACTGTTTGTTGTGCAA